GAAGGGCCTCAAAATAACAATTCACTTTAGGGTATATTACACTAACAATAGAAATCTAAGAAACAAAATAAACGAGTTAAATGCTTTTGTCTGTGCAGAAAAAATAGATATTATTGCACTTACCGAAACGTGGATGAATGTAGAAAATAGAGAACTATTAGCTGAATATCAAATGAATGGATTTAAACTATTTCACACAGATAGATATATTAGTAGATATATTAGACGAGGAGGGGGAGTAGCCATATATGTTAGGGACAATTTGAAATGTAGTCTCAAAGAGGGAATCAAAACTGAGCCACACACACAAACTGTTTGGATAGAATTAAACGAAAAAAAACAATGTCTCCGTGGTGTAGTGGTAAGACACTCGCCTGGCGTTCCGCGAGTGCTGTCATGGGTTCGTATCCTGGCCGGGGAGGATTTACTGGGCGCAAATCCTTAACTGTAGGCTCTGTTTATCGCAACAGTAAAATGTGTACTTGGTTGTAACAACGATTCTTCGCGGCGGGGATCGTATTCCAGGGACCTGCCCGAAACGCTACGCGTACTAGAGCTGTACAAGAATGTAACAACTCTTGTATATATCTCAAAAAAAAAAAATAATAATAATAATATTATAATAGCCGGTCGGCCGAGCGGACAGCACGCTGGACTTGTGATCCTGTGGTCCCGGGTTCGATCCCGGGCGCCGGAGAGAAACACTGGGCAGAGTTTCTTTCACCCTATGCCCCTGTTACCTAGCAGTAAAATAGGTACCTGGGTGTTAGTCAGCTGTCACGGGCTGCTTCCTGGGGGTGGAGGCCTGTCGAGGACCGGGCCGCGGGGACACTAAAGCCCCGAAATCATCTCAAGATAACCTCAAGATAGGAGTTATATATAGGCCACCAAATTTAGACAGAATGGAAGCAAAGCATCTATGGGATGAAATATCTAGGGCATCTAGATCTAACAGTATTTATGTCATGGGTGACTTTAATTTTAGTGGAATAAACTGGGTGAACAAAACAGGGAATAATGAAGCAGAAGATTTTCTAGAATTAATTGACGATTGCTTTCTTAAGCAACACATTAAGGAACCAACGCGGGGAAATAATATTTTAGATTTAGTGTTAACTATCAGGGAGACACAAATTAAGGACATCGAAATAGGGAGTGAGCTAGGGAACAGTGATCATAAAGAAATCAGATTTAGCATAGAATGGAATAGATCTGTAGGAGAAAATTCTGTTACAGTGCCTGATTTTCGAAAAGCTGATTTCAATCGCCTAAGAATTTTTTTGGGTCAAATAGATTGGAATGTCTTGGGGATGGGGTGTGGGCTAGACGTGAACCCAGCGACAGGTGACGGAAAAAGGGATTTCGATGTGGATTCAAAATATAACCTATTTAAAAATATTCTAAGCAAAGCCCAGGAACGTAGTATACCATATAAATTGAATAGATCGAATACTAATGATCCAAAGTGGATAACAAAGGATCTGAAGAACCTTATAGGTAAAAAGAGAGCTTGGTACAAAAGGATTAAGAATGGGAAGTTAGTTTAGAACAGAAATATCCCTTTGTGTGTATTTTACCTCAATAAACTTATTTTAATTTCAATTTCAATTCGTACAACTGATTAGAAATGTTAAAAAAGAGATAAGGAAAGCAAAAAGAAACTACGAAGTTCGCATAGCAGAGCAAGCAAAGACAAATCCTAAAGGTTTTTTTCAGTTATATCGAACTAAGACTAGGGAAAGGATAGGTCCATTAAAAACTGAGAAAGGTCAAATAACGGATAATGACGAGGAGATGAGTAGTATTTTTAATACATATTTTATATCTGTATATACTAAAGAGGGACTTAACAATATGCCTTCAGCCAAACAAATATATGTGGGTGGGGACGAGGATAGGTTGACTAGTTTAGCAGTTACCAGGGAGGATGTAATTAAACAAATAGTAATACTAAAACCAAACAAATCCCCAGGGCCGGATGTAGTGTTTGCCAGTGTGCTTAAAGAATGCAAAGAGGAGCTTTCCGAACCACTGTCTACCATATTTAATAAATCAATAGAGTTAGGTAGAGTGCCAGAGTCATGGAAGGTAGCTAATGTGGTACCAATTTTTAAGAAAGGAGATAGATCACTTTCGTCAAACTATCGGCCAATTAGCCTAATGTCTATTGTGGGAAAGTTGCTTGAATCGATAATTGCAAATACAATTCGTCTTCATCGTGAAAAACATAAATTAATAAATGAGTCGCAACATGGTTTTACAAATGACCGTTCATGTTTAACAAATTTGCTATCTTTTTATTCCAGCATAGTTGAGGCAGTTGATAGTGGTAAGGATTGTGATGTTGTGTACCTTGACTTTAGCAAAGCTTTTGATACAGTACCACATGAAAGACTGATTAAAAAAATAGAGGCTCATGGTATTGGGGGTGCTATATTAAGTTGGATTAGGGCATGGTTATTCCAAAGGAAACAGAGTGTTAGTATAAATGGGGTTAAGTCAGAGTGGAATAATGTTGTAAGTGGAGTACCTCAGGGCTCTGTCCTGGGACCTCTGTTGTTTATAATATATATAAATGATTTAGATTTAGGTTTGAGTAGCAACATTTGCAAATTTGTAATTGGCCTTCTGCAGTTACCTTTGTTCTTATGTTCTTATGTTCTTAAAACAAAAGGATCAATGCATGAATGTTCGTAATAAGGCAAATAGGACACTGGGATTTATTAATCGAAGCGTTAGTAACAAGACACCTGGTGTGGTTCTTAAGCTATATCTTGCTCTGGTTAGGCCCCATTTAGATTATGCAGTTCAGTTTTGGTCGCCGTACTGTAGAATGGATATAAATTCACTTGAACGTGTCCAACGTAGGATGACTAAGTTAATTCCCCAAATTAGAAATCATTCATATGAAGAAAGATTAACAAAGCTTAAATTGCATTCTCTGGAAAGGCGAAGAGTTAGGGGTGACATGATAGAAGTTTACAAGTGGATGAATGGACATAACAAAGGGGATATGAATAGGGTATTAAAAGTATCAACACAAGACAGAACACGAAACAATGGGTATAAATTGGATAAGTTTAGATTATGGAAAGACTTGGGTAAATACTGGTTCGGTAACAGGGTTGTTTTGTGGAACCAATTACCGCGTAACGTTGTGGAAGTGGGGTCCCTCGATTGTTTCAAGCGAGGGTTGGACATGTATATGAGTGAGATTGGGGGGTTATAAATAGGAGCTGCCTCGTATGAGCCAATATGCCTTCTGCAGTTACCTTTGTTCTTATGTTTGTGCCTTCCCAAAGGGCTGGGAATTGAACCCGGGCTCATTGGATTACGATTTCTGAGCGCTGCGTATAATAAATGAATCTAATCATCAGCAAATCTTTATCTTTCTAATTAAGCCTTAGACGATCTTTTAACTAGTTTATTGTTTAGTAATAAATATATAATAACGCATAAATATATAATTTGTTTTATTTCATAACGAAGAGTAAAAGTAGGAGGGATAAGTAAGACTATCTGGAGAATTTATGGAGAATAGGCACTTGTCAGTCAGTACTATGCCCCACGATTGGCACTGCTTTTAATTAATGGTATCATTGTTGTGTGCGATGAGCTATCAATTTTACTAAATGTTTATGTGACGATAATCTAATATTTAAATATACGTATGTAAATATCTATTTATGTGTCTATTTCACCTCGGGCTATGTAAAGTAGTACTTACTCTACTCGTACTGATTGGCCATAATTTCTAAGAATCCTACAGTATATATCGCACTTTATATTATTATATGGTGATAATTTTGTTAGCAAAGCTGCTATATCTGACTGAATGATAGGAACAATGACCTCTATTTCTCTAATCCAGGTCAAGGAATACCATCCACACTCCGGCCTCATGCACCGTACCATGGGAACTTGGCTTCTATAAGCCTCGTCACGACTTTCAGTGTGTTGGCCCTAGTACTCCAGTAAAATTATCGAAACAAAAGCTGAATTATTAGCCATGCAATTAATTTTTTTTCAAAACGTCTGATGTAATGAAAGCTAGGAAATATTGCTATTTTATGAAGAAATTCTAAAGAACTAAAGGTGAAAATTTTCCAGCCCGTTCTCCTCCCTCAATTGGGCTTAGCACAGGGAGACGGAGAAACACCACTATATCACTCTTACTCCGTAATTTTAGATGTTGACACTACACATGAGACCCTAATTGAGAGCTTTCTTTATATTAAGTAGGAAAAAACTGTCTAATATTTCAAATAAAGGACACTTTATTTAGTAACATAGCCCAACATTGCTAATGGCTCTCCCGTCGTACGCAGCTCTGACTCAGACTAGCTGGCCATAGGGACAAGACTTATTTGAAGGAAAAACCGTTGTTATCTTAGTTTAAGAGCTGTTTTATTCTTACCATAAGAATAGATATTCATATACTGTGCATATACTCTATAATAATACTCAATATGTCCTGTGTAGTGCAAAATACAGCAAATTATTACATCTCTCTGAGGGCGATGTCGACATGGCGAGGAGCCAGGAGTTTGTGTTAGTTCCGTCCACTTTAATCGTTATATAGTACAGAACACTCAATTAAACACTATTTTCATTGATATCAGCGTAAAGAAGAATTATTAATCTTTCATGTAAAATTAAAAAATAATGTTCTGACGATGAATTAGCTATTATATTTAATTTTTAGTAATGATATGTAGTGTATTTGGCTGGAACTGCCCTAAGAAATAGCCATATAATTCCAACAGACAAGATCGCACATTCATTTTTCGAACATAAAACGAAAGGCCAATCACCATTCTACATATAACCAAGTCTGGAACAAAGTGTAGTTAAAATTACGGCGGTAAATGTATTATTAGAGTAATCATAACAAACACAGATGTCTGCGCGCAGCCCCTGAAACTCACCGAAAACGGGCGCGAGAACCGATCTGCTACTTTTGCGTCCGCATCCGCACATATACCCTGGACATCAAAATTTTTGCGCCACTCGCCTCTCTAGCTTCACGACCTGTGCATCATACCCGTATCCTGATCAACACGCAATCTAACGCAATGGCCGACGCCGCAGCTTCCCCCGCCCCAGCAAAGAAGGCCTCCAAGAAGGGAGTTAAGAAAACTGCCGCTCATCCAAAGTACTCTTCGATGGTTGCAAATGCCATCAGTGCCCTGAAGGAACGCAACGGCTCCTCCCGTCAAGCCATTCTGAAGTATATCGTCGCCACCTACAAGGTTGAAGAGAAGGCCGCTACTACCCACCTGAAGCTTGCCCTGAAGCGTGGTGTTACCTCTGGAGCCCTCAAGCAGGTCAAGGGTGCTGGTGCTTCAGGTTCGTTCAGAATTAACAAGCCCGACACTGATGCCAAGCCCAAGGTCGCTGCCAAGAAGCCTGCAGCTAAGAAAGCTTCTCCCAAGAAGCCCGCAGCCAAGAAGCCTGCTGCCAAGAAACCCGCAGCCAAGAAGGCCACAGTTAAGAAGACTACAGCAAAGAAGCCCGCAGTCAAGAAGGCCGCCAAGAAACCAGCAGCTAAGAAGGTCGCTAAGTCTACGCCTAAGAAGACTGCAAAGAAGCCCGTTGCAAAGAAAACTGCCAAGAAGACTCCCAAAAAGTAGATCGTGTGCTGTAGACTATAGTGTATTGTCATCTTAAGGTGAATTTTATAATTATAACTCCGTTGGAGTAATGTATAGTATATTAAGATAACTTGTACCTGAAAAGCCCTTGGTAAGGGCAGGAGATCTCTTGTATATGAGAATGTTTTATTAAATGTGTTTTTCTATATTTATGTATTATTAATCCCTTTACACATCTATGCACAATGGTTTTAATACTAAGACATGAATGATTAACAAACTGCAGTGCTACAAATACTACTAAACTGATATGCCAAAAGTATGATTCCTAATAGGTCAATAAACCTCAAAGTCTTAAAAATGAAAATGAAGCCCAACAAAATTATAATTTCAATAAAATTTGTATCTAAATTCAATGTGCTATTTGAAAGTAAAGTACATTATCGAAGGTATTGACTCTTTAGCAGTGTTTCCGGCTTGATACTTTGATAATTACTTATATGCAAGTTTACTTAAGTTTTATAGAATTTGTGTTAAGATGAATATACGATGAAAGTGTGATGATGAGGGTTGGGCGTGGCTCCAGGTTCAACCCTCCCGCCTCAGCCGCCATGCTGCTGCCTTGCCAACTTTGGATGCTATTTTTGTTATTAACAAGCTTTGGTATACACGGCAATGTGCTGCTACCTTATTCTAGATGAAAGATTACAGTGTAGAAAAAAAGTAGCTATGAGTTAATTTAATATTCCCATCTCACAGGATGTTTAGTTGTTGATTTAGGGGCGACGACGAGTCGAATGCGCCCCAGCGTACCCGGTAAGGGTTAATCGCGAAGCCCGGAAAAGTGAAACGCCAAGCCAAATCGCGAAATAAGTGTCTCCAATTACTGGAAACTAATATGGTTAGTCATACATGGAATCAGGGGAGAAAATACCTGCCTCGATAGAGCAATAAATTAACTTTGACTATAAATAATAACTTAATGATTTTCATAAGAGTTAAGTAGTGAAGCATGGCAATAATATATTATCATGCTTGTGTCGGCGTACATGAATTTCCCTGCTGTACTCTCATAAAATCAACCTTTATTCACTGCCAACATTTTGAGACTAAAGGAAAATTGACCACAATTATTGTTTTTTTGTGTAAAGCGCAAATGATCGCGTAGATTAGGAGCCCAACACGTATCTAGGTGTATTATGAATATAAAAAAAAATCACGTTCCAAAGAATGTCAAATTTTCAGTTAATTATGACTCGTTAAGTAAAGTTTAGATAAATTCAAATGAAATATATTCAAATTTATTGCTAATTTTACCTTGTTCTTATAAAGTGTCAACGAATAAATCGCTTGCATGAACCGGAAGGGCTGCCAACGAAAATTATTACTTTTTTTATTACCAAACTTAGGTATAAACAGGTCTATGTGCTGCTAACTTATTCTATATGAAAGATCACACAATAAACTTAGAGCAGGTTTTTGATCTAAAATGTTGAGTGAGTGGCGACGACCACCACCAAGGGATCGGATGCGGCCAAAATTTAAAAATTCAAACAGCAAACGAACTGAACACCGCTTACTGTGGCCAGTGTTTTCGTTACTTTGGCGCTATAAACGTTAGTAGAATAACAACTGTACAGTCATTATTACGTGTTTTTTACTCAAACAACGGGCTCTTTGTTTCTAATTGTGTATACAAGTGTACATTGGGGAGGGGGAGGAGGAACACAGCTTAAAACTACCGGTGTACTGAGAATGTTCAGTAATATGTTCATTATTTGTGATTCAAGTTCAAGTATGTTTATTGAGACAAGGGGAAAAAAATACATCTCAAAGGGATAGAGTAGCTTAGGCTATTTTTACCCCTCTAAAATTGTTTGTGATGTGTGTCATTCTATGTATGTGTATGAACACGTTGTATTGAACAGCTAGGGTGTTCAATACAACTCATCCCTCATGTGTGTGTTTATACCTCATTAAACTGATTTCAATTTGAAAACTGACGCCGCAGGTGTCACTGTAGTGAGTGTTGTGCCTCGGTACTGTGCAGTGTTGTGCCTCTGTACTGTACAGTGTTGTGCCTCGGTACTGTGCAGTGTTGTGCCTCTGTACTGTGCAGTGTTGTGCCTCTGTACTGTGCAGTGTTGTGCCTCTGTACTGTGCAGTGTTGTGCCTCGGTACTGTGCAGTGTTGTGCCTCTGTACTGTGCAGTGTTGTGCCTCTGTACTGTGCAGTGTTGTGCCTCTGTACTGTGCAGTGTTGTGCCTCGGTACTGTGCAGTGTTGTGAGTGTACTGTGCAGTGTTGTGCCTCTGTACTGTACAGTGTTGTGCCTCTGTACTGTGCAGTGTTGTGCCTCTGTACTGTACAGTGTTGTGCCTCGGTACTGTGCAGTGTTGTGCCTCTGTACTGTGCAGTGTTGTGCCTCTGTACTGTGCAGTGTTGTGCCTCTGTACTGTGCAGTGTTGTGCCTCTGTACTGTGCAGTGTTGTGCCTCTGTACTGTACAGTGTTGTGCCTCTGTACTGTGCAGTGTTGTGCCTCTGTACTGTGCAGTGTTGTGACTACTGTGCAGCGTTGTGCCTCGGTACTGTGCAGTGTTGTGCCTCAGTACTGTGCAGTGTTGTGCCTCGGTACTGTGCAGTGTTGTGCCTCTGTACTGTACAGTGTTGTGCCTCAGTATTGTACAGTGTGGTGCCTCGGTACTGTGCAGTGTTGTGCCTCAGTACTGTACAGTGTGGTGCCTGTACAGTGAGGTGTTAGCCTGCTGTGCCTCTCATCGTCATCCTTCTATGCTAGTTGTCTTGCCTTAGGTAAGTTATTTGAATTCAAATTTTTTATTCAGGAAAAGTACATACATAGATAATTTGCAAACATAAAGATGGATTTATAGATAGTACATACAATACCTAAAGCTACTAATACGCATAGTGTTTCGGGCTATGGTACACTATGGGCTATGGGTACATTGTGGGGTTGAAAAATTACCCTAGTGACTTTCAAATAAAAAAAAAATCATGCCCACATTAAAATCATATGATTCTAGAGAACACTTTCTTAACTTAGTGTTGGCCACTGTCCTACAGACATTGACATCAACAAAACCAGTAACTTGACGAATATTGTCCAAAATCATATTGAAACCTATACCATAAGGAATTGTATAGGAACCACCTGTTATAAATATTTTAACATTAATATATACTTGATTCAGTACATGGTTCTTATAATATTAATTCATTGTGTTGGGGGACATGCAGCCAGTTTATACAAGCAGTATATGTTGGGCATATATTGAGGCCCCTTCCCCACCATATTTTTTTTTTTTTTTTTTTTTTTTTTTTTTTTTTTTTTTTTGAGATATATACAAGAGTTGTTACATTCTTGTACAGCCACTAGTACGCGTAGCGTTTCGGGCAAGTCCTTAATCCTATGGTCCTTGGAATACGATCCCCTGCCACGAAGAATCGTTTTTTCATCCAAGTACACATTTTACTGTTGCGTTAAACAGAGGCTACAGTTAAGGAATTGCGCCCAGTAAATCCTCCCCGGCCAGGATACGATCCCATGACATAGTGCTCGCGGAACGCCAGGCGAGTGTCTTACCACTACACCACGGAGACTGCTATTCAAATTACTGACCCTCCCCAGGATGCAACCCTACAACAAGCTGACTTAACTCCTGGGTACAAGTTTACAGCTAGGTGAACAGAGCCAATAGGTGATAGGAAATGTGCCCAACCATTCCTGTCCCACCCTGGATTCGAACCAGGAATTCTCGATTGTGAGTGGAGAACTAATCCGGTTGCACTACCGAGACTCTTTTTCCAGTAGTACGTACAGTGGCAATTGATAGTGAAAATCATTATCATTATATAATGATGAAAGTTATATAATGATAATGCTGGTGAATTTCCTTACAAATGGGTGATGTGATGCCTTGCCATCTGGAGTTTGGCACTAGGATATTCAGAGATTTTGTTAGGAATTTTTGGGTGCCACTTCTTTTTGTTAATACAATACTACAGCATATCTCTGGGTTTTGCATATACGGAGTCAATTCTAGTGTTATTTTATAGAATAATGTCTAATAATTATTAAATTAATATAGCAAATTTTTAATAAACCAGGATAGTAAATAATTTACTGTTTTGGGACTGGCGACTTTACCCAGTGTGGTTCCCAGTGTCAAAATCCAATCAATCAATTGGCACGCCTATGGACCTGTATACAATTTATCCACAATCTGTAGGATAAATAAGAGATTTTTTTTGTACTATTCTTTAATTGTTTCCTGGGATTATTGCACTTAATATAGTTTGGTACAAAAATGTGCAAAATAATATTACAAAGTGTAATTTTACTATTTAAGAGCATAAAAGTTAAACAGGCTAGGGGAATGTTATCCGTATCCAGATGGTCACTGGTCTCGAGACATTGCTAGTTTAAAAAAAATATGTTCTCTTCATTGTTAGGAGAGAAAAAAATACCAGAGCATCTCCATACATTACACAACTATATACAGTACAGTACATTTATATGATAATATATTATCATTAAAAAAAATTGTAACCAAGATTTTTGATGTCCTGGTGCACAAGGAAAATATTTTGATTGCCTAAATGATGACTTTAAAATTAAATATTCAATATGGGTTTGTAGTCTTTTTCAGGTAGATATAGGAACCCCATAGTTTTGACCGATATTGGTAGACACCTAGAAAGGGTAATACTGTACTAAGTATAATATAATGTCTGGAAAGATCCCACAAAAAAATGACAGTGTCAATCTTGGGATGGGATAATAAACTCCAAATCACCTGGGAATGCCACTGATTTAAAAGTGAAATGTAAGACTGTACTACAGCACATGGCATGTAAAAATTGGATAGTAACACTCACTGGTTCCTAGGATATGACACTGAACATGGGGGGGGGGGCATCTGCTGCTGGCCTCTAGATATTGGTCATTGTACAGTATGTAGTTCATCTATATGAACTACATACAGTAGTTCATCTGTATGAACTACTGTATGCCACATCTGTATGAACTACTGTATATTCTACTGGCACGAACATACAGTAGTTCATACCACAGTCTTAGCTCCTGTTGTGCTAAATATCTCTATAATTTTTAGTAATAAATTTTGCATGTACAAACAGCTATGCCTAAAGGGTGTTTCAGTACTGTACATGTATATCCTCATTAGCAAATCAATACAACATCAGCAATACAGTTATTTTATTTTACTCGTCCCTACAGTATGGAAAAAAATGAATATATGGTCACCTTAGGGATTGGTAACTTTGTGCAGGTAAAGTGAGAATATACTGTACACATGCATTTATCTAATTTGTTTATTGTACACTTTTTTTTTTAGGCCTGGAATGGATTAATCCAATTTACATTATTCCTTGTGGAAAAAAATTATTCAGTACTCGAATGGCCTTCTGGAACCAATCAAGTTTTAGTGCTGTAGCAAGATTCCACTGTACAGTACAAACTATTCAGTGAACTATATGGTACCAAACCCAATTCATTGCAGTAAGGGATTCGTTGCAACCGGAGATGCCTCAAGGATGCATTTCCCACGCCCTATGGGCATTTCACTGGGCAAAATTTTAATTTCAACCTGTAATATAATAGACAACTACCAAATGAACACATCTGCAAAAAAAAAAGTAACTACATCTAGCTCATTTTACTCGTCCCTAGCATCAAAATTCGTTTTCAAAAAGGTAGCATGATCATACCTTGGTGAACAAAAACCTTGCGAACTGAAAATTAAAATAAATCATAGAATTTGGTTTAAATATTTTCAATAGCTTTCCCAAGGCTCCAACTGTTTCTTGTAGTGTCGAGTCCATCTACAAAAAACATAAACAATGTGATTGGAGCCATATTTAGTATCACCATTCATGCCCTAATATTTCCCATGCTCTATGGGCTGACTTCACTGAGTGAAATATTAATTTACACCTGTCATATGAAGGAAAACTACCAATATTACTACAAAATATTAAGAGCCATTTATACCTAATATTTTCCATGTTCTATAAGCTGATTTTACTGAGCAAAATTATAATTTCAACCCGACCTGTGAAGAGCAACAACCAAGAGTACCTATCTGCAAAGAGATTTTACTACATCTAGCAAGTTTCCCAGGCCCAAGCCTTGAAAATCTCATTTTCAAAGAAAGAGGGGCCTATATTTTACTGAATCCATATTTTATTTTTGTTTTGATTTACTATTGAGTAAATGTTGTGGCTTTTAACCATTTTCTTACCCTACAAGGGAAATATTGTCTTAATAAAACTTTAAATATATTTACTGACTATGACTGCATATTCAGTGTTTATTGTTTTATTTCTTAGGGGTTCTATCCCTCTAACTTGTGCTCTTAGATCTTGGTTTAATTGGAAGAAGATTTCTTTGAATGCCGTATTTGTTCAGAGTTGACGAAAATGACAAAAACTAACTACAATCTCTTTATTATAACTTGCACAACGTTTCGAACCTACAAGGTTCATTCTCAAGTGAGGAGTGACAAGACATGCAGAAACATCTGATTTATAACACTGGGAAGTCAGTTACATACAAATTGTCAGGTGAATGGCAAAAGACATAAGAGTAGAGGTAAAGTGAGATGATGGGCCAATAAAGTTTACAAATTTAAGTTTATTAGCATATTGCCTCACTTTCCCTCTACTCTTATTTCTTTTGCCATTCACCTGATATAATTTAATGCAACTGACTTTCTAATGTTATAAATGAGATGTTTCCTCATGTCTTGGCTATTCCTCACTTGAGAATGAACCGTGTAGATTTGAAACATTGTAAATTATAATAAGTAGAATATATTATTTAATTTTAATTCTTTTCATTAACCTTGAACAAATGACATTCAAAGAAATCCTCTTCCAATTAAACCAAGATGTAAGAGTACAAATTAGAGGGATAGAACCCCTAAACAATAAAATAACAAACACTGAATATGGAGTCATATTCAGTGAAATGGGTCTAAATGAAACCTGCTGCCAGTATACACAAACTAAAACTTTAATGAATAAAATATAATATGCAATAAAATTATACAGTACAGTACAGGTATATGAAGGGGAAAAATCAGGCTTTAAGTTGAATACTGACCTCGCTCACATACTGTACAGCACTTTCTTTTTTAAATGTAAATACGTAATGTAATGTATTTCTCATTTATCAGGTGCAGCAGTGAACTCCAGAAGCAGGAATCTCAACTAACAGCAGTTGAATAATTGCATTCCTGCACTACCTACTTGTACAATAAAATTTATCTCGCAGAAAAAAAAATTAATAAGGCAAGATAAAAAGTATACATGATTGAAGAATTTTGTTGAGGGATACAAATTATTTGTAAGATGGATGTTGAATCTCACGATGGAGAAGATTTCTTATCAACTGCCAGCCAGCAATTGGATTTGTCACAGAGCAGTGGAGTAATGTCTCTTCCGTCGGGAAACAAGCTAGCAAACATCAGTATAACCTCAGACATCACGGATTCAGAGCTTGAAAATGAAGAGACAGTGCTTGATTCAAGTACTCAAAGTAAAATGAAAACTGATTTGCATTTTACTAGAGAGAGGGGTACAGCTGTATCCACAGCTGCTGCTGCTAGTGCACCTTCTAGGTCCTCAACCCCTCCTCGATCAACTGATATTGATGACAGAAAACCAAATGTTAAGGATACGTATCGAGACTATATGCACAATGACAGAGTTCCAGTCAGCACTACAGATTCATCTAGTCTAAAAGCAAATAATGCAAACATGCAGATGATGCCTGGTGTTTCTTATTCTACAGTGCCTGTTGTCGAGCATGAAGAACCCTTTACTGTAACTAGCCTGTCCCTTGATGATGTTAGGTTCGCACTACAGAAAAACTGCAATCTTTTAAGTGACAGGCATTTATTAAATGATCTGCTGAAGTCTTTGGATGAAGAAATTGGCCACGATTCTGCAGCATGTACCTCTTCTAGCATCTTCGCTTCTCAGAAGTATCCAAAATATTTTGTGCCACCCAACAGAGATCCAGGACCCAGCCTTGGTTGTAAGTCATCAAACAAGGCTAATGTAGGGATCATGACACAAAACGCTGCAACATCTGATAGTTCATACGTACAATTAACACATGATCCATATTATGTACAAAATTACAAAAGCTCTTCGTGTTACAATCCTGCTTCATCCATTCCTGGTACGAGCAGTAGTCAAGGGCACCTAACAAATGATAATTTGAGATACATACAGCAAGATTCTCAGAGACCTCAGGCAGGCAGTAATAATGAAGGAGATCATGATAACCTGGAAATAATACCTCACCAAGTGAGTAATGATGTATTTAGTTCACATTTATTCAAGTTTGCTACTACCACTCCCTTTATAGAAGAATTGGGTTGTGATAAGAATCCAGAGAGACATGTTCAATTTCAGCACACACCAGCAGAAGTGAATCCCAGTAGTATATCCACAACTGACAAGTGTGTGCCAAGTCAGCTACAGACTGCAAGCTTAATGGAATCTAAGAAATGTGATATAAAAGTTAATACAGTTTTGAAGTAAGTTGATTTAAGGTTTATGTTTTGGTTAAATTTTGTATTTTTTTTATATAAATTTATTGACTATGGTTGATGGAAAAATTTTCCACAGCCTTGTATATGACCATTAATGGGAGTAAGCTGTTGTTGCCTACTTATAGATTTTTTGTGTTCATGCTACTTCTCTGATTCTCTGCCTGTGTTCATGCTGCTATTCTTGATGCAATGCCTGTGTTCATGCTGCTACTCTTGATGCTCTGCCTGTGTTCATGCTGCTATTCTTGATGCAATGCCTGTGTTCATGCTGCTACTCTTGATGCTCTTCCTGTGTTCATGCTGCTATTCTTGATGCTCTGCCTGTGTTCATGCTGCTATTCTTGATGCTCTGCCTGTGTTCATGCTGCTATTCTTAATGTTCTGCCTGTATTCATGCTGCTATTCTTAATGTTCTGCCTGTGTTCATGCTGCTACTCTTGATGCTCTGCCTGTGTTCATGCTGCTATTCTTGATGCTCTGCCTGTGTTCATGCTGCTATTCTTGATACTCCGTGTTCATGCTGCTATTCTTGATGCTCTGCGTGTGTTTATGCTGCTATTCTTGATGCTCTGCCTGTGTTCATGCTGCTATTCTTGATGCTCTGCCTGTGTTCATGCTGCTATTCTTGATGCTCTGCCTGTGTTCATGCTGCTATTCTTAATGTTCTGCCTGTATTCATGCTGCTACTCTTGATGCTCTGCCTGTGTTCATGCTGCTATTCTTGATGCTCTGCCTGTGTTCATGCTGCTATTCTTAATGTTCTGCCTGTGTTCATGCTGCTATTCTTGATACTCCGTGTTCATGCTGCTATTCTTGATGCTCTGCGTGTGTTTATGCTGCTATTCTTGATGCTCTGCCTGTGTTCATGCTGCTATTCTTGATGCTCTGCCTGTGTTCATGCTGCTATTCTTGATGCTCTGCCTGTGTTCATGCTGCTACTCTTGATGCTCTGCCTGTGTTCATGCTGCTGCTGTTGATGCTCTGCATGTGTTCATGCTGTGTTGAATGCTGTATACAGAAGACCTTGATCTTATTTGTCTAAGAGATGCATTTTTGGACAACGTTATGCTGAGCAAATTAACACAGAATGAACTTCCGTATTTAGGGGAAAAAATACAATGAATTATAGATACAGTACCTTGTTTCTACTCTTCAGTAATACACCTCCCTTAAAATTATTGGTAACTGCTCTCCAACTTTTCAGCAATATGAAAAGATATAATGAAGAAAAGAACACTTGAGAAGGGCCAAGTTAAAGAATTTGATTTAGAAAGTGTGTAAAGCATCAGCTTATTTTGAAAGCATGATGCCAGAGTATGGTATTTAGGCATAATGCAACAAAACATAACTGTTTTAATTAAACTACACATGGCAATTTGCTTGCTTGTAAATTTACTCTCCAGGCATTATAATTTTTTTGTGGAGAGCCCCTCTGGCTTCCCGGAGCTATACCTGGCTGATGTGTATGTATTAGACTATGCCATCAGTCAATTCGATTGGAGTTCTAGCCTACCGGGGATCATGAGCCAGAACCTGGCCTCCTCAATGAGGCACGAGGAGCAATGGCCTATAGAAACCCGCATGTGGATGGAAGCATTCTATTTCTGCCATCTACCAGGTTAGGCTTCTGCTCTTTCAGTCCTGATGGTCGGTTTGTTCGGTTGCAGCCTTCTCCTTCTTTTCTGGTGAAGAACGAGACAACTGCTTTCTAGAGGGGTCCTTGGGCCATTGATGCTTGGTTGATCAGGCCGGGGGTGTATCATGTGTTGTGTCCAGTTGCGGCTCTTCTCAGTTATCCGCACACTTCAGCTCGATGGCTGGGGATGCGCTTTGGATTGACCCGGTTTCCCCTCGTTCCCTGTTTCAGGGCTCGGTTCTTCCAGGTCGTCCACAGGGTTTTTAAGTCTAGCCAGCCTATGGTCTATCCTCGTGCCCATGACATTAGAAAGTTTGCTACACAGGCTGCCATGTTTGGCAACATATCTTGGGCTGATATTTGGGTGCAGGGATTTTGTAGGTCGAACAGGGTCATGGCCACCTGTTATTTGGTTAACGTTCCTGCTCCTGGGCATTCCTGTGTTGCTTTGGGTTGCAGGTTGCGGCCAGTTGTCTTGACTTCATGTTGAAGAGTTTGTGTGGCAGTTGCTTCCCAGGTAAGTCCCACTTTTCCTTATCTTTGGGTATGTAGCTCCAGGAAGCTGTAGGGGCTCCCAAAAGAAAACCATTGTTGAATGTAATGAAACGCCATTTTCTGGGTGAGCCCCGGAGGCTCCCTGGCAACCCTCCTTCCCTCCCTCTGGTCTGTGGTTTTTACTTTGTTTGATGCTTAGCTTCCGAACTGGAGTGCTAGGTAGCCGGCGCAGAGAGGTCCGTGGCTCCCCCCCCCCTCTCCCTCTTGGGAAGGGGAGGGCTGAGTGGACGAGCAACAAGGTGGTGGAGTGTGACATTTGCTTGTTTCCTGGGGATTGGAGAGAGTTCTGCCTCTGTTTTTGGTTTTTAGTTGTAATTTTCTTTCCATGTGAGGTTTGTTTTGTTATGCTTACCTTTCTGGGGGCTTAACCCTGGCCGATGGTAGATAAGGAATACCCCCTCCCCCCAACCACAGGGGTTTTCCAGGGTCATTGCTCCCTACACCTCTCTAAGGGAGCACGACGCCAGGTTCTGGCTCATGGTCCCCGGTAGGCTGAACTCCATAGATTAATGCCCCAGTTTAATGTATCACATATTAGCCCGATAACTCCAGGTAGCCTCCGGGGCTCGCCCAGAAAATGGTGTTTCATTACATTCAAAGCTGTTTTTTTTCATAACTTCACTAAGGTACTAATTCTCATTGTTTGAAGTTATGTTGACTGAGTGCCACCTATATAAACAAATTACAGCAATATACTTCTAAATTTAATGTCACATACACTCAGTGACAATGGTTTTTGTATAATCTTAATTTATTGTATCCAGGGACATTAAATAAAATGTGTTCTATTATGTATTTCTAAGCAAAATTGGATCAAACTTCAATAGGCTGTATAATATGCAATCAATAAAATCATTTTAGACTTGGTAATAGTCTTGTAATGTATTTGCAGACAACTTTCAGGGCTGCGATGGAGACTTCTTGGCTGGGAGGATGTGGGTGCTAGCCCACCAGAAAATGGCAGGAGCTCACTCGCATTTGTTCATCAGCTGTTAAATATGCTCCAGGTTCATCAACTAGAAAAAAAGGTGATTTTTTTTTTACTGGCCAGTAATTTTGTAAATACAGTATACGAAGCTGTTTGTAAACACATTGAGGACAGGCGATATAAAAAAAAATCCAGGGTAATTACCTAAGTGTAGTAACAGGATGAGAGCTACACTTGTGTTGTCCAGTCAAAAAAAGAAGAGCTGGAACATGTAAATTAACCTGGTGCTGGACCAGGGAGCCGGTCGGCCGAGCGGACAGCACGCGGGACTTGTGATCCTGTGGTCCTAGGTTCGATCCCAGGCGCCGGCGAGAAACAATGGGCAGAGTTTCTTTCACCCTATGCCCCTGTTACCTAGCAGTAAAATAGGTACCTGGGGTGTTAGTCAGCTGTCACGGGCTGCTTCCTAGGGGTGGAGGCCTGGTCGAGGACCGGGCCGCGGGGACACTGAAAAGCCCCGAAATCATCTCAAGATAACCGTGAGAACTCCGGCAGTCGTTCCCACAACCTTGCCATGACTCTTCCTTTAATGATAAAGAGCTTGACCTCACTTCTTCGTAGACAACTGACCCAACTGAGACAACACTGCTGTATTCCTTAGGGTGTATTGCTTCCTCTGCTCAGTTCTATTTTCTTCACCACTGAGAGACATATGGCATTGAAATGTATTTCAGTATGTTCTACACCCATTGTCACTACAGTGCTTTGTTGTACCAAGGCCCACATCTGGCTGCTGGACAGGTAGGGTATGTCAGCCTCAAGCATTTCCTGGGAAGCTCGCTTTTTGAAGTTGTCCCACAAAGCCATGTTTGCCACATCCTGATCAGACTTAGAGCTCTGTGTTTTTGGTGACAAACTGATGTTTTCAGATTTTTTTATTTCTTTATTTATATATATACTGTAGAAGAGTTCTTATACTGTATTCTTGTAAAGCCACTAGCACTCATAGCGTTTCAGGTAGGTCCTCAATTCTAATTTTTCCCTGGAATACGACCTGCCAAATTTATTAAAATCCAGGTACCCATCGATAACAAATCACACACCAGAAGATGAGGAGACAATGATGTTTTGGTCTTTCCAGGACCATTATCAAGTAGATTTTCAATCTACTTGATAATGGGTCATCTGCATGACTTGTCATGCTGTGTAGAGGATGGAGAGGATGGCCACTATGCTCTTTGGGCACTATACTAGCTTAGTTGCACAGTTATGGGGAACAGAACATGTAGATACATATATATATAACGTGTGTGTATATATAGTGTAATAACACCACAAACAGTATAGTTGGAGGAGGGATATTAGTGTGTCTGGCCTTGAACCGGGGAGGGGAGGGAGCATCAGCTGTGTGTGGCCACCTGTGTTGGTCTGAACTCACCATACCTGCTTAGTTGTACAGTTATGGTGAACAAAATATGTAGATTACTTGTATATTACATCTGTATATAGTGAATAAAAGCAAAAAACGGTATGGTGGCAGGAGGATGTTGGTGAGTGTGGTGGTGTTGGGGGAGGGAGTGGTGGCGAGTGGCTGGCTGGTGTGGCAGCCACTCCTCGTTGCTTTTTGACTCGCTATACCAACTTAGTGGTTTGTTACTGTGAACAAAACATGGAGCTAATTATATATAAGCTGTATATAGTCTAGATGCATATTCTAGTGTATATTCGTCTAGTTGTCGGCCTATGTCGGACTTGTTGGTTCTCCGTGGTGGTCCTGCCCGGAAGGGTCGTGCCAGGTCTCGGATTCCTTCGGTCGTCGTAAGCCAGTAGTGCCAGATTCGGGGCCGGCACCTCTGGAGCCATCGGCATCTGATTGGCGCAGTGATCGCTCTGAGCGTTGGTCAGACTCATAGGGAACGTTGGCCCTTTTGCGGGTCGCCCCGTTGACGGGGTGATAGGGAGGCTTGCGCTGTTTGCTCTCGCCTAGTCCCACGATTCGTGGGCATTTCGGGTCGTTTCCTCCTGCCTGCGGTGTCATTGGGTCTCTCCTCCTCCTTCGGGGATATCAGGGTTGGCAGGGCTGGCCTCTTCTCCTTTGCTCTGTCAGGTCATCCGGGAGTGGGTTCGCTTGGGTGTGGTCGAAACGACAACGTCCCTCAGGTGGGTTTCCCGCCTGTTTTCAGTTCTGAAACGGCACTGTGTGGATCTGCAGTTCATACTGGACTTGTCTCGTCTAAATCCCTGCGTCTTTTGCCCCTCCTTTCAGATGACTACTGTCTCAGGTCTGGCTGCTTTTGAAGCCGGATGCCTGGATGGTGTCTCTGGACATCCAGGATACGTATTGGCATGTCCCAATTCATCCGGGGTTCTGGGACTGGCTCAGGACAACAAGCTTACCGCATTCGTTGCCTTCCATTCAGCTTGAATCTGGCACATCGAGTGTTCACACACGCTTTATCCGGTCGTGGTGACCTGTTTGTGTCTGTTAGGGGTTCGGGGTCTGGCTTACCTCGACAACTGGCTGGTGTGGGCTCCCAGCCAGTCAGAGTGTCTGCTCGCCAGGGATTTGGTTCTTTACCAGCTCTCCAGGTTCGGGTTCTTGGTCGTTTCATTACATTCAACGTTGGTTTTTTGCCAGACTTTCCCGCCCTATTGCGGCCAAAATATACCTCCTATGATTTTTTATTATTTTTCCTGTGATCAGGGAACACAAATGGGAACTTTTATAAGACAAAATATTTTTTTTTTTTTTTTTTTTTTTTTTTTTTTGCTCCTGTGGGTGTTGAAGGCCATATAGTCCAGTGTAGTTTAGGGGTTAAACTGCAGCTTGATTCTATCGAAGGGCAGAGAATCTTGTCTTATGAAGCAGCTGACTGATTCTGCTTGGGAAGGTGCTTTCTAGATTTTCTTCATCTTATTTTTTAAAATGACTTTTCCATGTGCTACCTTTGATGATTGATACACAAGTCCAATTATTCTGCAGACAACGAGGCAATATTTTTATATAACTGTGCTAGACATTACTGTGTCCAACCTGCAGGGATCCTTCATATGAATGTAATAAGTAACATTTGCCAATGTTTGTGTACAGGTTACTTTGCTTTACCATTGCTTTATTGAATTGAATTTACACTAATTTATTATACAACAAGGTTATGAGAATATAGATACTGTATGTAAATAGGTAGAAAAAATTTTAAATTTGGAAACAAGTGACATATGATATCAAATCTTCACCAGTTTAAGGTATTGTATAATGGTTAGCAAGGTGCAATATCTAATGTAAACTTAATGTAAATTTATATATTATCTACAGTAAAAATATAAACTGCTTCAGTTTTTTTATATATATGAAAATTGTTTGCTCAATAATCTTTGTAGTTTCTTGCACATAAATCTTGGTTAAGTTAGTTATCATAGTAATGAAAAAAGATATATTCTAGATAGATTGTTCCACAAATTGTTTGTTCATAAATATCTAGTAAAATCAAAGGATAAATGGTACACATTCCCATCTCTTGTGATCCAGTTGGTGGGTTGACTTGTACATCACCTAATTTTGGCCATTGCATTTTGAGTGAGACTTTATTCTTGCTGGGCCTTGTGGGATATACAGGGGTACCTCAGTTTACGAATTTAATCCATTCCTGGAGACGGTTCATAAACCGAAGCGAATTTCCACATGAGAAATAATGGGAAATGAATTAATCCGTTCCTGACTCCCCCAAAAATTAACTTCAAAGTAAATTTTATACCTAATTCACCCAAATCTTCACTACAAAAGTATGTACAAGTTATTACTTACCTTTACTGATGACTCCTGTTAGAATATGGAAGATGGTGAGGAGGAAGGGGGAGGAGAAAAGATGTTACTGTTTGGAAGGGAAGTCTCCTTCCATTATAACATCAGGCAGTGAGGACTTCTCTGTGGTGTGCTCTCTAGCATGTTTTGCCTGCATACCACTAGGACCTGCTTCTGGCTCACTGCTTGATTTTCTCACTAGAAATCGTTCCATTGAAGATTGCCTCTTTGCATCACTTGTCTGTAGTGAGGCATCATATTGTCATTGAAAAGGTTAATGCAACAGCCTACTACAGCTTTCTCTGGATGAGTCATTTTAACAAAAGTTTGCATTTCTTCCTACAGCCTACACCACTTCCTAATTGTTGAGGAATGGACATTCTCTACTGCCTCCTCCTTCCCTGAGGAAATATTCTCAGTTGCCTCTTGTTGCTGCTTCTTTTGAAGGGCTTGGAGTTCTTTGCTGTGTTCCTCCACCAACGCCTCCACATTAAACAGCTCATTAACTGTTTAATATTTGTAAACAAAGCTGCCAAAGATTGAGAAAAGATGTGCAGGTTCATAAGTGCTTGCGTAACTGATTTGTGAATCTGGCCTCAGGATTTTTTGAGTCGCTTCTTGCCAGGCTTTGTCAACGAGTTTTAAAGCACTACAAATATTAAAATGGTGTTTCCAGAACTCTTTGAGGGTGAGTTTTGTGGCTTCAGTCACTTCAAAACATTTTCAGAAAAGTGCCCTTTCATAAAGTTTCTTAAAATTGGCAATGATTTTCTGGTCCATAGGCTGAATTAGAGGAGTGGTGTTAGGAGGAAGGAACTTTATTATGACAAGCTTAAATTTATCCAACAATGCATCTTCCAAGCCTGGAGGATGAGCAGGAGCATTGTCGAGGAGAAGCAGGGCCTTGAGTGGCAAACTTTTCTCCTGCAGATATTTTTGTATGGCAGGGCAAACCACCACATTTACCCACTTCGTAAAAAATAGCCTAGTCACCCATGCCTCATTATTAGCCTTCCACATCACACACATTTGGCTTTTCTGCACATTATATTTTTTGAAAACCCTTGGATTTTCAGAATGATACACAAGCAAGGGTTTAATTTTCAAATCACCACTCACATTTGAATACAGCTCAAGAGTAAACCTATCTTTCATAGGCTTGTGCTTGGGCAATGACTTCTCCTCCTGGGTAAAGTATGTCCTCTTAGGCAATCTTTTCCAGAATAGTCCTGTCTCTTCACAATTAAACACTTGTGGTAGGTATCCCTCACTCTACAAAATCCTTAAATTCTTCAATAAATTTTTCAGCTGCTGGCTTGTCTGAGCTGGCAGCCTCCCCATGCCTCACAACACTATGAATACCACTTCTTTTTTAAAAATTTTCAAACTATCCCCTGTTTGCCTTAGTCTTTCGTATCTGCACTCGTTCCAGGAGTTTTCTTTATAAGGTCTTCGTGCAATACCCTTGCTTTGTCACAAATATGGCCTCCGAAACGCTGTCACCTGCTAACTCCTTGTTGTGTATCCAAATTAATAACAACTTTTCAACATCCTCAAGTATCTGTTCTCTTTGTTTTGTGATTGTTGATATGCCTTTTGCCACTTTAGCACTCAAAATGTCCTTTTTCTTGGCAAGTACAGTACATATCGTTGACATTGATTTGTTGTATTGCCTAGCTAGTTCAACAACATGAGTACCATTTTCATGTTTACGAATTTTCACTTGTTTTTCCTCTCTGGTCATTCTTACATGTGTTTTCTTGTCTTGAACCTTACCACTGGCTTTCTTGGGACCCATGGCAAGATATATAATAACAACTTTTATGCTCAAATTGTAACAAACTAGGCTGTTGTAAGAATTATCCAGAGTGGTTTATCGACAAAAGAGAATGGGAAGCCGAGCCGCATGGTGACCTGACCCCCAGGGGAATTCGCGGTGGAAATAACCGACGCTTTGTTCATATCTGCGTATAATGAATCATCCTATAGTATTCAGTAATTTAGAGAAAATTAGCCTTTATTCATTTTGCATTAAAATTGTATTGTATAATAGTACTGGATACAATATCAAGAGTATTCTAATTATTGAGTTTAAGTCACCATCAGTGACGTCACGAATCAGATCTAACTTTTAAAGCGGAGTGACCGGCGGTCATAGGTCATCAGGGGTTGACAGGTCTACTATTTCTCAAAGTTTTAATAACCATTTTTGTGATCGGGAACAGCTCTGCCGTTAGATGTTTGTAATTTAATTCAGTAAAATAATTCAACCAGTCTGGATCAATTAAGTACAACAGAGTTTAATTGTTATAACTTAACCTTGCTAAAGTAACTGGGTAAGCGATGCGGAACAATACAATACTCTGTCTGGGGTAGTCCAGACAAGGAAAAGATCAGTGTGGTCACGGAAGCAGCTGGGATAAGAGGTCAACATCTTACCTCTCCCCAAGACCAGCCCCAACACCTAGAGCTGTGGTCGCCCAAGGTATAGTTGCTATTGTTAATTATAGAAATAGTCTTCTCATTTGCCACTCAGGTCAAGTAGGGAGTGTTAAAGTGATAGGGAGTGAACTTATTTAGATTTTGTTTTAGTTTTCTTTTAATAAATTAAATTTGTTATTAATTTGCATTTTATTGTTTCCATGTGTTTTATGGGTATACTTGTCCTGGTCACGTGGTCCACACGAGGCAGAGTTGCATTGGGCGCCGATTCTAACATCGAATCGGAATTATCATTACCGTGTAATTTATTCCACACTCAAGGTCATCGTTTATAGTGGGGATCAAGCCCCTAGGTTGATTAATTAGCGTGATCGATCCAGACCTCGATCATTGCTCTTGTATTACTGGTCTGGTGGTGGCAGCAGAGGTGACTCTAGGGTTTTGTTCAGAGCTTAGGTCACGTCATACTGGGTGTAGAATCCTAAGTCGGTCAATCGTCTTAGGACCACGTGGCGTGGAGTTGGCTTTGGTAAAAGTTTTGGAGTCCCTTGGTTTAGAAATAAAAGTAAGAATACGGGTAGAGGGAGTAGAAAGAAGGAAGTAAAGAGAGAGAAACCCGAACCCGTGTTACAAAATAACCAAAAATATCCTCCCCAAAAAACTGTAAATCCTTGCAAGGAATTCAGGTGGGATATTCACTAGGCGGGAGGCACTGGGAAACCGAGGAGTGATCGCCGTGCCACCACGCACTAGGTCGGCCATACACGTATCAACAAACTCGTATCAGGAGGTAAAGTTCGTAACCCGAAAAGTTCGTAAAGAGGAGCATTCGTAAACCGAGGTACCACTTACATTACACTACAGTACTGCATAGTAATTTATGTAGTGTAATATTGTATGCATAAAATTGTTTTTTGTACAATAATTATTGATAACTGTATTTATTGATACTATAATTTGTCAACCAGCATCTAGAGGATGAAGTTTTAACAACAAAGGCACTACTGAAGAAAATGAGCGATGAAGCTCATATTCGGCAAAGTATGTATGAGAAAAGGGAAACTCGACTACTTGAGGCCGATAAACAACTTGGTATTATTCAGAAAGAGTGGGTGGAAGCCCAAGAAGCAATACAAATGGAAATGAAGCAGCTTACTGCTCAGTGTAGTCATCTGAAGGAGGTATACGTTGTTTCTGTTGTGTGCTTCCCATGTGCAGCTGATGTCTTCCTGGGGCCAGATTCAGGAAGCAGTTATGCAAGTACTGTACTTAGGAACGTGTACATCTTTCCTCAACCTTTGACAGCTTTGGTTACATTTTTTAAACGGTTTACTAGCATGAAAACTTCCCAATCAACTGTTATTGTTATAAACAGCCTCCTGGTGCTTCAGAGCTCATTAACTGTTTAATAATTGTAAACGAAGCCGCCAAAGATTGGCAAAAGAGGTACAGGTTCGTAAGTGCTTTCGTAACTGCTTTGTGAATCTGGCTCCTGGTTAAGCTTGGCCACAGGTGGCCAGTACCACCTTTATGCTATATATTATGCCAATACATTGCAGTACAGTATGTATCAACTTTTGTATCTTTCTGATAATTATATAACTATTGTTTTGCAAGTGAAAGCTTGCTTAACTGATATCTCTTGGCATATATTATGTCTTTACATTATTTCAGGAGAGAGATATATTGAAAGATAAAGTCATTGCTATGGAAGGGAATATCGATAAGCTGACACAGACTGTGAGGGATTACGAGAAGATGAAGGTACTTTATAGTCTTCTGAGTGAGTTATTGTTTTTTGTCGCTGAGTAAATTGAAACACCAAGAGTTGACTATTTGTAACTACAAGTAAAGTCTTTACTCATGCTGACATTTCTTTCAATTATAATAAGTTCTATGCATTCTCTTCAGCCATTTTGTCCTTGATAAGATATTGTTACACAACATACTGTACATGCATACATCTAAACATATTGACCAAATCATCATAGTGCTCCATCTTACTGATCAAAGAACTCTGGCCTAAAACCAACTCTTTTTTTTTTTTTTTTTAGTTTTGTATAAAACTAAAAAAAAAGTGCTTTAAAACTAAAAAATAAGACCAGTGCTTTACACCAATACATGAAAATGTAAACAGTCACCCCTTGCATACTGCCATCTAATTGTCATTCCTTCTTATCCTCCTCATTCTAATTGGCATATTTATTAGTCGCCTGCCTTCAGTATTTCAATCTCGACTTCACTAGCATGAATTTCTATTTTTGATAGCAATATGTCCCATGAATTAACAGAATTAAATTCATCTGCACTCATAGATTTTATCATGTGTTGCTTTCATTAATATATTTTTAAGTAAATTGTTTTCTCATAATACAGACAAAAATTTTCCCTTGTCTTGCATATCTTGTATTGTGTTTAGACTGCTGTCTACATAAATCACATTAGATTTATTAGATTTCTTCCATTCATTAAATTAAGTATACACCTTATTTTAATATTTTCATGTAGGCCCCTAGATATCTCTTGACTCACTCTATAAATATATACACTTAATAATCAGACACTTTATGCCATCAGTTCTTAACATGTGCTCCTCTTCCTTTTATAAAAACTCTTCACTCCATTTAATCTTTCCTATGCACTGAAAGCTAGAATAAAATTGTTTTTGCATTTAATACTTTTTCCTCGTGTTCTTTAAGATTGCATTGGAAGAGACTCGGGACCAGTGTGTAGCAAGCCGAAAGCAAACTTCAGAAATGGCAGAAGAAAATCTCATATTAAATCAATGCTTGCAAGAGAAACAAAGATACTTGGAGGAGCTTGAGGAGGTAAAGCTGTGAAAATTGATTACTGACTTTAGTGGAGGACCTTATGATAATGTCCTTTATAGAATGACAAGGTCCTTCATAATGCAGTGTTAGAAAAGTGTGGAAGTTAGGTAGGCCTTTATATAAGAATGAAATAAAAATGTTGGGTAAAGAGTTATCAGTTGGAAAAAGGCATATTAAAATTATTTCTGAACAAAGATTCCTCAGATACAGTACTTCTATTGCCAGCTTCTATATGATCCCCTCAGGACTGCTATTGCCTGCTAGGCACTCGTTGATTTTGTTTCATTTATTTATTTACAAAAAGGCACAATGGGTTTGTGAGATTACTTAATATTGGTATTTCTGTGAGGAGCCCCATCAGCTTCCTGGAGCTTATTAGACTGATATTAGCTATATTAGTCAGGGGGTTTCAGTCATATGGAGTTGTTATACCTACTGGGAACCACTAGCTAGAACATGGTTCCCTCAGAGAGGCGAAGGGAGCAATGGCCTATGAAAATCCACTGTTTGGGAGTATATTCATGTCTGCCATTGATTGGGGTTGGGCACCCAGAATGGTAGGTGCCCTAAACAGACCCCAGCTGGTAGAAAAGTGCAATTCGAGACTGAAACAGGCTAAAATCTTCCCCCAAGAAAAACAAGGAAACAAGTAAACTGTCATCAACCTGATGTGCTGCTTGCCCACACCCCCCACCCCCCAGAAGGGAAGGGGGAAGCACCGCCCCACCTGAGCCCGCTATCTGTCCCCAGTTTGTTGAATGAAGCCAACTGGGGGTGGATGTCTACTCTGGTCTTGATTATCTGACAGGATTTTCACCCATGTGGTGGTGCCTGCTGTGTTGGTGCAGTGACCAGGAGTTCCAGTACCCAGGGCTACATGTGCTTTGGGTTCTCTTCCCTAAGTGTAAGTACATCTCTTGGGTTTCAGGGTTACCTTCCCTGGGACTTTTGGGTTTCCACTCCCATAGGGGGTAGCAGTCGCTTCGCTTCTGCCTCGCCATTGGGGTCAGCTTAGGTCTTGGTGCTTTCATTTGGCCCTGGGTAGGGAGTGTGTTTTGCTGGTTGGGGCGCACTGGGCTGCACAGCTTGCATACCAGCAGTGGCCATGCCTCTCTCTCTGGCCTCCTGTGGTTGTGGAGCTCCTTTGGGGTTCTTCCTCATTCTTTTAGTTTCTGTCCTGCCTGGTGGAGGACACGATTGTTGTGTATCCAAATTGGTAACAGCTTTTGCACTTCCTCAAGTATTTGTGGTCTTTGTTTCGTGATTATTGATACTCCTTTTGCCACTTGAACACTCATAATGTCCTTTTTCTTGGCAAGTATAGTGCATATTGTTGACGTGGATTTGTAGAACTACCTACAAAGTTCAACAACACGTGCACCATTTTCATGCTTCCGAATGATCTCTTGCTTTTTCTCTATTGTCATCCTCACATGCGATTTCTTGCCTTGAACCTTACCACTGGCTTTCTTGGGACCCATTGCGATGTATATTATAACAAATTTTATGCTCAAATAGCAAAAACTCCATAAATAAACGGTAAATCCTTGTGAAGAATTCAGGCGGGATAGTAACTAGGCGCGAGGCATTCGTAAACTAAGGCGCGATCGCCGTGCCACCACACGCTAGGTCGGCCTGTACGCGTATCAACAAACTCGTATCCTGAGGCGACCCTCGTCACCCGATGCAAATTTTCCAAGCAAATCCTGCTCGTAACCCAAAAAATCGTAACCAGGGGTGCTCATAATCCGAGGTACCACTGTACTCCTTGTACGCTCTCTCCGCCGGGCAGGTTGTGCGGTTCGGACCTCGTGCATCCTGCGCATGCGGCGTGGGAGTTTTTGTCATGGACGGTGTACACAAGTTTGGTGTTCCGCACCCTTTTTTCCTTGGGTACATTGCCTCTCGCTCCTCTTATCTCTCCTGTCCGGGCCCCGTAGATACCGGGGGTGTTCTGGATTACCGATATGAGAACTATACCAAGTTTTTCTCTGCATACGGGTGTGGTGTGCCGCATTTGCCTCTACCCTTCTCTTCTGCATGTGCGGCTCTGGCCTATTTTCCCTTTTGGTGCTCTTGGAATATTCTCGACTACGATGTGTCGGGACACGTTCGTCCCTACGCTCTGCAGGTGAGTTTATGCGGTCGGGCATCTCTTTCGGCCAGGCGCTAGTTCATGGTTTTTGAATGAGCGTTGAGGATTGGTTGTGGTGTTTTGTTTGTTTCGGTTTTGGTGTTTCCTCTGCACCAATTTGCGAGCTCTGTCTGGCGTGGTTCACTTCCGGCCTGCTCTTGTGCCACTTGAGCCATCCTGGTTGGGTGCTCTCTTCTCTTCTCCTCGGTTTGTTGTGGCCCCTTCGGTTCTGGTTTGTTTTCCGAGGCTCTTTTTTGTTGGCGTTGGCCTCTGGGGGTTGGGTCGGGGTGCTTCATGCTCTCCTCCGATATCAGAGTTTCGGCTTTTTTGGTTCTCCTGATAGGTTTGTTCGCTTGGGGCCATCTCCTTCTTTTCTGGCGAAGACTGACACGGCTGCTTTCTGGAGGGGTCCTTGGGTTGTTGATGCTTGGTTGATCTGGCCGGGGGTGCATCATGTGTTGTGTTTGGTTGCGGCGTTTTGCCATTCTTTTCGCGCCACAGCTGCTGTCATGTTTTGAGTTCTTCCAGTTTCCCTTTTTCCCTGTTCCAGGGTGCGGTTCTCGGGTTGTCCATGGAGTGGTTTGGTCCTGCCAGCCTGCTGTTTCTCCCCATGCCCATGTCTTTCTTAGGTGGGCTGTGCATTCCTTCGTTGATGTTCCTGGGCCTTGTCGGGCCTGTGTGGCCTTGAGTTGGCAGTTGCAGTGTTTTGTCTCTGCTTTGCGTTGAGGTGTGTGCGACTTCCGCCTCCTGGGATAGGTCCCTCTTGTTTTTGTCTTTGGGTAGGTAGCTCCGGGGAGCCGACGGGGCATCCCCCAGAAAACCAGCGTTGAGTGTAATGAAATGCCATTTTCTGAGTGTGACCTGGAGGCTTCCCGGCAACCCTCCCTCCCTCCAGTCGGCGTTTTTTTCGTGTGTTTTTTATATCCAGCCTCAGAACTGTGGTGTGGATGGCCGGCGCGAGAGTCTGGGGCTTCCCCTTAGCCCTCCCGGCGAGGGGGGAGCTGCGCAGACGGTGGCGCGGCGACATGTGACGTCATACCTGTTTGCTTGTTTCTGTTCGGGGAGTTCTATCTACTCGTTCGGCTTTTTGTAGCAATTTTCACCAGAATAGGGGTTTGTTTTGGGACGCCTACCTTTCTGGGTGCCTAACCCGGTCGATGGCAGACATGGAATGCTTCCAATCCCACAGGGGTTTCTATAGGCCATTGCTCCTTGTGCCTCGGAGGATGGGGGGGCCTCGTGGCTCTAGCTTGTGGTCCCCGGTAGGCCCACAGAACTCCATACACATGACTGATGCCAAAGTCTGATATTAGCACATCAGCCTGGATAGCTCCGGGAAGCCTCCGGGTTTCACCCAGAAAATAGCGTTTCATTACATTCAAGGCTGATTTTTTTTTTATCTTGCAACAGGTGCATCTTCCGCAAATACAGCAAGAGCTTAAGAGGGTCGAGAGCAAGGCCAATGGATTCGAGGAAGCTCATGACAAACTAAAACGAATAAATGCTCACTTGGAGGATGACCTTCATGTGTTACAGGAGCAACACAGAATACTTCTAAAAAAAGTGGTTGATGAAGAAGAAATGAAAGAGAAAGCCTTGAAGGAAAATGCTAGTATTTTAAGTTTTTCATGTCATGATTTTTAAATCTTTGCCTTGTTTTCTTCAGCATTTTAGGTGATATAGAGTGAATATAGAGGCATATTCTTTATTGCCTGTTCACGATTGAGCACGATGTAGTGAATTTAGTTTAATTTGGAATGCAAGGTGGTTGCATTACAGGTTTTTTATGTCTGTCCACACCCAAGAATAGAACAAACTTTAGACAGGTCATTAAAGTGCATACATGTGACCTCAATTGAATTCCCATTAGATTGGATTAAATTAAAGTTTACAGTTGCAGCACATCAACCCATGTTTAAAGGAAGTGGCTGAGAATTCACCAAGAAGGTAGTGAGGAAATTAAGTAAATAATTAGATGCATGGAAAAAGGATCATTTAGAGTTTTATAAATGAACTAGCTGTACCCGGCCACGTGTTGCTGTGGCTCAGCAACGCATGTGCATTGCTGAGCTACAGCAAACTTTCCCTGTCTCCCAGTCCTCTCCACCATTACCACTTCCCCCCTTCCCTTCGTCCTGCCAACCATTCCTCGCTCCCCTGTCCCCTTGTCCTCCCAACCATTACCCATTCAACCGTCCCCTCATCTTCCCTACTATTTTACCCTCCCCAGACCCCTCGCCCTCCCCACCATCCCCCACTCCCCTATTCCTTTGTCCTTCCCACCATTCTCCACTCATCTATCCTCCTCATCCCCACCATCCCCCAACTCTTCCTTCCCCTCGTCCTCCTCACCATTACCCCCTCCTGTCCCCCTCATCCTCGTCCCCACTCCCATCACCATGTCCTCCCCCACCATTCCCCACTCCCTCGTCTGATCATTCCCAAATGATCTGATGTTCCCATTAGAAAATTTGGAACATCAAATGATCTGATGTTCCTATCACTGAAATATCAGAAAAAGTTAAAAAAAAAAAAAATGGAAAAACAATAAATTAAACAAATAAACTATACTCACAAAATGAACAGTATGGTAAACAACACAGCTCAATTCCAATGCAGTGTTACACAAAATAATTTAATAAAAATGAAAATAAATTGAAATCTATGAAAATTCAAATTACTGTATTAATGAAATCGGAAACATTAAAATGGAATCGTAGCATATTTAATATAGCGTGTGTTGCTCTTACATGCAACAGATGGTGCTGTTTAAAAAAAAAAAAAACATGTTTATACCTGTCACAGGTGTGGCATCAATACCTATACTTAGGAAATTAACGGTATGGTAAACAACACAGCTCAATTTCAATGCAATGTCACACAAAATAATTAAATAAAAATGAAAATAAATAGAAATCTATAAAAATTCAATTTATCAATGCAGTTGGAAACATTAAAATGGAATCATAACATATTTAATATAGCGTATATTGCTATTACAATCAACAGATGGTGCTGTTTTTTCAAAAAGCATGTTTTTACCTGTCACAGGAGTGGCATCTATATAGTAGGTACAGTTTATAAAAACACGTGCATATTCGAATGGAACGTTTAATAAAAATTTCAAAGCATTTGGTGAAGAACTTTCGGAGATTACAGCATGTGTTGCTCTTACGTCCAACAGATGGCGTTGTTTTAAAAAAAAAAAGCATGTTTTTCTGTGGGGGAGCCCCTACGGCTCCCTGGAGCTTATCGGGCTAATGTATGTTATATTAGACCGGGACATTAGCTAAGGAGTTCAGACCTACCAGGGACCAGCGCCAGAACTTGGCCCCTTCAGAGAGGTTTCAGGGAGCAATGGCCCTGGAAAACCCCCTTGTGGTTGGGGTTTTCCTTATCTGCCATTGACCGAGGTTAGGCACCCAGAAAGGTAGGCATAACAAAATAAACCCCACATGGTAAAAAACTAAAAAAAAAACTGAACAGAGAGGTAGAAACTCCCTACAATCCCAAGCAAACAAGCAAACATCACACTTTATTGCCACGCAGATCATCCGCGCAGCCTTCCCCGCCCCAAGAGGGGGAGGGGGGAGCCCTGGACCTACTGCGCCGGCTGCCTAGCTTCAGTTCGTAAGCTAATTTCAATCGGGATAGACGCTTCTCTGGCCACAGTTTCCTAGGCAGTGTTTGCCTTGTGTGGTGTTCACTGCCGTGTGTTGTGTTGTGCGGTGGCCAGGAGTACCTCATTAGTGCCGGGGCTGCATGTGTTTAGGGGCTTCCTTCCCTAAGCGCCCTGTGAGTACTGCCCCTGCGTGACAGGGTTATCTTCCCTGGGGCGTTCAGGAACCATTCCCGTAGAGGTTCTTGCTGCTCGGCATTTACCTCACCCTTGGGGCCAGCTGGGGCTTGGGGCCTTTGTTTGGCCCTGGGTAGGGACTGGTATTGTGCTGGTTAGGGCGTCAAGGTGTTGCACGGCCTGCCACCTAAGCGGTGCGTCCTGTGTTGTCCGGTTGCGTTTTTTGCCGTTTCCTGCGTACCTGTGTACCTGTGTGTCTGGGGATGAGCTTTGGGTTGATCCGGTTCCCCTCATTCCCTGTTTCAGGGCTTGGGTCTCCCAGGTCGTCCGCAGAGTTTTTCAGTCTTCCAGACTGCGGTCTGTCCTTGCGCCTGTGCTGTTCGGACATTTGCAGCTTATGCTGCTGTGTTGGTGACGTCTAGGGCTCATTTCGGGGCGCAGGATTTGAGGGTCGCACAGGTTCTTGGCTGCCCGTTCTTTATGTGCGTCTGCTCCTGTGCGTTCTTGTTGCTTTGGGTCGCAGGTTGCAGCCTTTTTGTCTCGGCTTCACGTTGCAGAGTTTGTGGTGGCCGCCTCCCGGGTCAGCCCTTTCTTTTCCTTCTCTTTGGGTATGAAGCTCCAGGGAGCCGTAGGGGCTCCCCACAGAAAACCAGCGTTGAATGTAATGAAACACCATTTTCTGGGTGAGCCCCGGAGGCTCCTTGGGAACCCTCCCTCCCACTGGTTGGCGGTTTTTTCGCGTTGGTTGAAGCTTAGCTTCCGAACTGAAGCTAGGCAGCCGGCGCGGTAGGTCCGGGGCTTCCCCTCCACCTCTCAGGGCAGGGAGGACTGCGCAGACGATCGGCGCGGCAGTAAAGTGTGATGTTTGCTTGTTTCCTTGGGATTGTAGGGAGTTTCTACCTGTCTGTTCAGTTTTTTGTTTTAGTTTTTTACCATGTGGGGTTTGTTTTGTTATGCCTACCTTTCTGGGTGCCTAACCCCGGTCGATGGCAGATAAGGAAAACCCCTACCACAAGGGGGTTTTCCAGGGCCATTGCTCCCTGAAACCTCTCTGAAGGGGCCAGGTTCTGGCGCTGGTCCCTGGTCCCTGGTAGGTTTGAACTCCTTAGCTAATGTCCCGGTCTAATATAACATACAGTAGCCCGGTAAGCTCCAGGGAGCCTCCGGGGCTCGCCCAGAAAATGGTGTTTCATTACATTCAATGCTGGTTTTTCCTGTCACAGGTGAGACATGTATATAATAGGTATATAAAAACACGTGTCTTTTTGAATGCAACATTGTCAAAATTTCAGTGCAATCGGTAAAGAGGTTTTGATGATTTCCCCTCACATGGAAAAACACAGTTTTTAAAAAAAGCATGGCTTTTCTCGTCACAGGCGTGACATCTATATAGTATGTATATAAAAACCCACTTGGATGCGATTGGAACGTTGTGTGAAAATTTCAAAGCAATTGGTGGAGAACTTTCGGAGATTAGCGATTTTGAACAAACGAACATTTCCATTTTTATTTATATAGATTAGCAGATAACGGAATGGAAACTCATTTGTAGGGTTGGGAGAGAAAGTTACTAAAGGTAACATGATCTGTATGTATGAAAAATGCTCTGGACTTTGGATAGCCAGTCAATCTTTAAAATGTATGAGCCAATAAATGTTTACGGAAAAGGATGCCATAAAGTAGACAGTATAAAATTTTGTTTCAAGATTTCATTAACAGGTTCTTATAACCTTTAGTGCGGGGAGAGAGAACCAATTAGGAGTTAGGATGTGCATGGTGTTTTGCATGTTCCTATTTTCTTGGTTTAAACTGAGGTGATCCACATAAATTGTCAAACAATTTGACTTTTTGTACAGAACTGCCACAATTGGTACATTTTCACCTTCATTCAGTGATGATCACTGCTGTCATCGTTCTTTTGTTAAAGATAAGCTGCCCATCATTGTAGGCTTTTCATAGTCACGAGTTACATTCTTCAACACTCCTTAACTTTTCCTAATATTGATTCACTATATTGTAAGCACTGCACCAGCTCTTTGCTTGTTCTTTGGATAAATATCTTCATGCTACATGCTTTAAAACAAGTGTGTAGCATGATTAATTATGTGGCTCAGTTTATTAGTTACTGGTTACTGGCTTATTAAGATTGTACTGTATGAAGACTTTTGTTCAGAATCTAATTCAAATGACAATTTTTGTAATTTACTTTTTGAAAAGGGTTTGATTTATTTCAAATTTTCAGGCATCTTTAGAAGAGCAAATGAAGGATCTCTCATCTCAAGTGGCAGCCACACGAAATGAGCTTCATCATCACTACCAGGCCCAGTTAGAGGAGATGATGGGGAAGAAGTCTCGCACTCTCCAGGTAGTTTTACAAATATTTTCTGTGGTTATCTTGAGATGATTTCGGGACTTTAGTGTCCCCGCGGCCCGGTCCTCGACCAGGCCTCCACCCCCAGGAAGCAGCCTGTGACAGCTGACTAACTCCCAGGTGCCTATTTACTGCTAGGTAACAGGGGCATTCAGGGTGAAAGAAACTTTGCCCATTTGTTTCTGCCTCGTGCGGGAATCGAACCCGCGCCACAGAATTACGAGTCCTGCGCGCTATCCACCAGGCTACGAGGCCCCTTTGTGTAGGTAATTAGTTTTATGAATAGGTATAATTGATTGTACTTGGATTTGTAATCATTGTAAAAGGAACATTTTGAGAAGTGAGAAGTATTTGCAAAGACTGGTTTGAGCCCTGGATAGACAAGGATGATTGGGTACCAATTCTTAACTTTTCCTGTTCACCCAGCAGTAATTGGGAACTTGATTGTAAACAGGTTTTTGTATTGTGTTCTAAGGAAACCAGTATGATAAGGCTAAAGATCGACTGGTAAGAGGAGTCGGTCCTCTTCTCCTTTACTCACCTATGTTGATGTGGTATAATTATGATGAAAAAGACTACTATATTGGTGGCGCTTGTGAGGATCTTCACGTGGTGCATCTTCACTCAGTGCAATCATACATCAGATTTGTGTTTGAAATATCTCCAGTCTCTCGGATTCCACCACCACCCACATGTCCAGTTGCTTGCAGGTTAATCAACCTTGGCTAGCCTCATGGACAGCCGCAGATGCGAGACAGTGTACAAAATCAATGGCATGTACTTTTACTCCCAGCACATAATTCCTCAGTCCTCACACAATAACAGATAGCTGACTATGTTGCATGTCCTCCTAAGGTTTCCCAATGTCAAGAAACTGTCTTACTAAAGTGTCCTCTCCTAACTTTCCAGAGGATCCAAAACAGAAAACAGAATAATATGTCAATTTCTCGAGCTGCTGCCATTTTCTAGCACGATGATTTTTTACCTTGGGTAGAGTGTCTGTCAAAAAGTGATGCTCTGTTAGGATGGGTTGGACCATGGTGGTAATTAGCATTTCAATTGCTGGTGTTCTCATACCATTGGCAGGAGGAAATTAATGGTGAGCTAATTGAATGGTTGTAGGTGATAGTGAGCAGAATTGGGGGGTCACATGTTAATGAATAATTACAGCTACCCTAACAATTGCTACCATTGACCCATATCCTCGTTCTCTGCACATATTGGGATAATGTGTCCGATATGACAACGGCTGCTCACACAATTGTTCTCCATAACTTGTATTATTGTTTACCCAAGAGTGGTTCTGGGATCATGGTGATAACAGTAGTGATAATTCAGGCGGTGTTACTTGATACAGTCTGTTACTCTAAGGCCACATTGCTCTTACTTGGCTGGGATAGAAACATGTTTGTCTATTGTGGCTGACCTCAAAATGATGCTTGTCACGATGACTCGAGCTGTCTGCCTTGCCAACTTCAATGAACCTCTACAGAGTACACCATTCAGAGAGTAGCATCTTCATTGGCCTATTCCCTGATTGGTTCCTTCCCAGAGTTCACATAGTGTTACTAAGATCAGGTTCTGATCCTTTTCACTGTGCACTTCTCCATCCAGGATGGCATTTCCACTCATGAACTTTGTACTAACTCAATAAGGTTTTCATTACTCTGTAGCATAACCTGATATGGTATGATGGCCATCATACAATATCTGTACACCAATATCTGAGAAATTGCGCAAATTATGGGCTCCGAGTGATTAGTTGCTTGGGGACCCTCAACCCCACCACCCCGTGGGGCGACAATTGCCACAAATATAATTTTTCACAATTATATCAATGTCTCTTATTCGTTTCTTCTCTAGTTTTTTGCTGTAATATTATTCAAGAGTGTGTAATTTGTGGAATTTATATAGGTCAATATGTGGAACATCGCTATGCTCAAAATTATGGGGCTCTTATATGTGACGTGTATTATATTCTAAGATTAATCAAATGGTGTTTTTGCTGTTATTACACGATATACACACACTATATAACTACAGTATCTACATTTTTGTGCATCATAATGAACCACAAAGATTGTGTGTTGAGAGATTATATACACAAAAAAAGAATCAAAGGTCAGCCTAGCCATCGACAGCCGAGTGTGGCAGGGGCTGCCCCAAATACATTTTTATACAATTATTTCAGTGTCTGTGAATGGTTTTATATCTAGTATTTTGCAGTAATTTTATTCAATAATATTCAATAATGGGAGCCAGTCGGCCGAGCGGACAGCACACTGGACTTGTGATCCTGTGGTCCTGGGTTCGATCCCAGGCGCCGGCGAGAAACAATGGGCAGAGTTTCTTTCACCCTATGCCCCTGTTACCTAGCAGTAAAATAGGTACCTAAGTGTAAGTCAGCTGTCACGGGCTGCTTCCTGGGGGTGGAGGCCTGGTCGAGGACCGGGCCGCGGGGACACTAAAGCCCCGAAATCATCTCAAGATAACCTCAAGATAGATCACTAGCGTGAGCTCCACACAGCGATTTTTTGGAAATAGTATACCTTGAAAGAGAATGGGCCATGCCATATCATCGCCTATTTGGGAGAACGGAAATTTCATGGTGCACACTTTGAAACTATTCCCAAGTCGATCAGATAAAAAATGGATTTTATAGAAATATTTTTTCTCTGGTCGCTTGAGAGTGGCACTTATGCGGATTGAAGAGAAAAATGTATGCCACTCTCAAGCGGCAAATGTGTGCAAAAGTCTTAAGGTGCTCTGCACAGTGCAGTGGTTAAAAAGTGCAGTAATACAATTTCATTAAAATGTAAGTTTATAAAGAGCAAACTTTGATAGTGTAATGAAATTTTATATTGATATAATTGTTGTGCATTACAGGAACAGCTGAATAAGTTGGAGATAAACATGAAGAGGAATCTTGAAGAACAGCTAGATGCTCAGCGAAAGAGCCACTATCATGCCTGCCTAAACCTCCAGAAAGAGTGAGAAATACTTCAATCTTTGGTCTTGGGGCATTTTGGTATTTTTTGTTTTAATATGCCAGCTTATTTAAATAATAATTAAATGATTACCTTTTCATTCTATATTTTTTTCCCAAGAGAATCTTTGTTTTAGCATGAACATCATTAATAGTGAAGCAATTGTTTGTCACTTGTGTGAAAAGTAAGACTGAAAGAGGAAGATTATGGATGGTATGGAAGGTAGTGAGGCTTGTGCTATAAAGGTGGATGGAGTGTTTGCTGTTGTATAATCGCACAATACTGAAGTGGCATGTTGTAAGAGTATGTTCATAGGAAATACATCTTGTGTTACAGGCATGAAAAACAAATTAAGGAGATTAAATCATCTAATGCAACACAATTGTTAGAGCTCCAGCAGCGGTTAAAGATGTTGGAGGAAGAAAATGTGAAACTTAAGGATCAGCGGCAGGGCATCGTCACTGCTGTGTCCTCCATCCTGGGCCTGCAACCTGAGGTATGTTTGCCATATTGTACATGTTGTGTGAAATGCAGACGTTTGACGATGTTATTGATTACTGTGAAGAAAACGTCTATAGATAAGCCTATCTTGTAGATTAAATTTTGCTCTGGATGATCTTTGGCTTTTAAATAAAGGGTTGTCACTAATGTTTTGTTATTACCTTAATGTATTTACTAATTTATTCATGGCATTTTTTAATTTGGAAAATATTATATGAAAGTTAAAGTGCAGGACTTTAGAGATTGAGCATGTATGGAGTCACCACAAGTACTGTTAAATGCTCTAAAGTTTCTATATAGGTATATGTATAAAGAGTTGTGTAGTGTGTTGCTGGTTTAATATTAATGTAGGTTTATGTAAGGGTTTTGTGATGAGGGTGTAGACATTGTGTATAAGCCTAATATGAGTAAATGAAGTATTGGAAAATTTAATGTATACCTGGATATCTGAAGAGAATTTCGGGAGCTCTACTCCCTGAGCCCGGCCTGAGGCCAGGCTCGACTTGTTGTAACTTGGTCTAACAGGCTGTTGCTTGGAGTGGCCCGCAGGCCCACATAGTCACGACAGCATGTTTGGTCTGGCATTTCTAGCAAGAACCTGTCCAAGTGCCTCTTTAATAAATCCACCTTCTTTCAGGCATTGCAGTACAGGGGTACCTCATTTTAAGAGTGTAATCCATTCCTGGAGACGGCTCATAAACCGAAGCAAATTTCCCCATAAGAAATAATGGGAAATGAATTAATCCTTTCCTGACTACCCAAAAACCTCACTTCAAACTAAATTTTATACCTAATTCATCAAAATCTACACTACAAAAGTATGTTCAACTTATTACTTACTCTTGCTGATGACTGCTGTTGGTGTATGGAAGATGGTGAGGAAGGGGGTGGGGGAGGAGGAGAGGTGTTACTGTTTGGAAGGGGAGTTCCCTTCCATTATAACATCAGGCAGTGAGGATTTTTCTGGAGTGCATTCTTTGGCACGTTTTGCCTGCATACCACTAGGTCCTGGTTGTGGCTCACTGCTTGATTTTCTCACAATGAAACGATCCATTGAAGATTGTTTTTTCCTTCTTCGCAATATTTGTCTGAACAGTAGTGAGGCATCACATTGTCATTGAAAAGATTAATGCAATGGTCTACTACAGCTTCCTCTGGGCGAGTCGTTTCAATAAAAGTTTGCATTTCTTCCCACATCTGACAACACTTCCTAATGGTTGCGGAAGGGACATTCTCGTCTGCCTCATCCTCCTCCGCTGGAGAAATATCCTCAGCTGACTCTTCTTGCTGCTCCTTTTGAATGGCTTGGAGTTCTTCGTTGTGTTGTCCACCAACTCCTCCACCTCAGCACCATCCAATTCCAAGCCCATTTTCTGGCCCAGAGTAACAATTTCCTCAACAATAGGCACTTCATTTACAGGCTCAAACCCCTCAAAGTCTAGTTCTGTCACACATTCAGGCTACAATTTTCTCCAGCCAGAGATCAGGGTTCTTTGAGTCACTTCTTGCCAGGCTTTGTCAACGAGTTTTAAAGCACTACAAATGTTAAAATGGTGTTTACAGAACTCTTTAAGGGTGAGGTTTGTGGCTTCAGTCACTTCAAAACATTTCCGGAAAGTGCCCTTTCATAAAGTTTCTTAAAATTCGCTATGATTTTCTGGGTCATAGACTGAATTAGAGTAGTGGTGTTAGGAGGAAGGAACTTTACTGTGAGAAAATTACTGTATCTGTTCAACAATGCATCTTCCAATCCTGGAGGATGAGCAGGAGCATTGTCGAGGAGAAGCAGGGCCTTGAGTGGCAAATTTTTCTCCTGCAGATATTTTTGTATGGCAGTGCACACCACATCATTCACCCACTCTGTAAAAAATAGCCTAGTCACCCATGCCTTATTAGCCCTCCACATCACACACATTTGTTTTTTCTGCACACCATACTTTTTAAAAACCCTTGGATTTTCAGAATGATACACTAGCAAGGGTTTAATTTTCAAATCGCCACTTGCATTTCCACACAGCACAAGCGTAAACCTATCTTTCATAGGCTTGTGTCCAGGCAATGACTTCTCCTCTTGGGTATGTCCTCTTAGGCAATCTTTTCCAGAACAGTCCTGTCTCATTACAATTACATACTTGTTGCGGTAGGTATCCCTCAGCCTCTACAAATTTTAAATTCTTCAATAAATCTTTCAGTCGCTGGTTTGTCTGATCTGGCAGCCTCCCCATTCTTCACAACACTACGAATACCACTCCTTTTTTTAAATTTGTCAAACCATCCCCCGCTTGCCTTAAAGTCTATTGTATCTGCACTCATTCCAGTGGTTTTCTTTACAAGGTCTTCGTGCAGTACCCTGGCTTTCTCACAAATGATGGCCTCTGAAACACTATCACCCACTAACTCCTTGTTGTGTATCCACATTAATAACAACTTTTCCACATCCTCGAGTATTTGTGGTTTGTTTCGTGATTGTTGATACGCCTATTGCCACTTTAGAACTCATAATGTCCTTTTTCTTGGCAAGTATAGTGCATATCATTGACGTGGCTTTGTTGTACTGCCTTCAAAGTTCAACAACACGTGTGCTATTTTCATGCTTCCAAATGATCTTTTGTTTTTCCTCTATTGTCATCCTCACGTGCGATTTTTTGGTTTGAACCTTGCCACTGGCTTTCTTGGGACCCATTGCGAGATATATTAAAACAACTTTTATGCTCAAATGGCCAAATATCTGACAAAAAAGTGTAAATCCTTGTGAAGAATTCAGGCGGGATAGTAACTGGGCGCGAGGCATTCGTAAACTGAGGCGCGATTGCTGTGCCACCACACGCTAGGTCGGCCCGTACACGTATTGACAAACTCGTTACCCGATGTAATGTTTGTATCCTGATGCAAATTTTCCAACCAAATCGGGCTAGTAACCCGAAAAACTCATAAACAGGGACACTCGTAACCCGGGGTTTCACTGTATTTTTAATGCTTGCTGGTAGGGTGTTGGACAGCTGTGGACCTCTAATGTTCAGACGGTGTTCTCTGATTATGCCTATGGCACATCTTAGTGCTTAGGGGCGCCTGACAGCTGAGTGGACAGTGCTTCAGATTCATAGTCCTGAGGTTCCGGGTTTGATCCCTGGTGGAGGTGGAGACAAATTGTCAGTTTCTTTCACCCTGATGCCCCTGTTACCTTGCTGTAAATAGGTACCTGGGAGCTGGACAGGTGCTACAGGCAGCTTCCTGGGGATGTGTAACAAAAAGGAGACCTGGTCCAGGGCTCAGGGTCGAGGACCGGGACGCTAAGCCCCGAAATTATCTCTAGATAACCTCAAGATAAGATGGCACCTCCACTCCTCACTGGTTCTATTCTGCATATTCTTCCGTATCTTTTGCTCCAGTATGTTGTTATTCTACTGTGCAAATTTGGGACCTGGCCCTCCAGTATCTTCCACATATATGTTATTTGATACCTTCCTTGTTTCCTTTCCAGAGAGTACATTTTGAGAGCTTTGAGATGGTCCCAATAATTTTGATGTTTTATTGTTTCTATGCATGCCGTATATGTTCTCTGTATTCCCTCTTATTTCAGAAATCTGCTGCTCTGAAAGGTGAAGTGAGTACCGAGCAATACTCAAGACGGGACAGCACCAGTGATTTAAAAAGTGTTAGCATTGCTGTGGGATCTCATGATATGAATGTTCTCATAATCTATCCTATCATTTTCCTGGCCATAATTTGCTTGGTTATGTTTACTAAATGTCAGGTCGTCAGACATCATAATTCCCAAATCTTTTACGTGTTGCTTGAAGTTTGCTTAAGTGCTTGATGTGTGAAGATGGTTCTTTTATCGGAGTGAAAAATACTGTGCAGACTTTTCAAATTATATTGAGGTGTAGAGAGAACTTAAGGTGAACAAAGTTACTGTAAAGTTATTGTTGTGTATAGGAGGGAGAGGAAAATTGTGTGAAATCAATGTGAGTGTTGAAGTGCTGGAAATGGTCAGTCATGGAATGGGTCAGCATCAGCCTGGAATAAAATGTTACGTTATTTATGTGAAGTTGCAGGTATTACTGTAAATAATAAAACATTAAAAAGTATCAGTTGTTGGTTGGTTATATCATTGTAAACAAGCATTATTATACTCGAGCAGTCACTGACAGTAGCACACACCCTCCCAACTGCTTCATGAGAAGGTGTGTACAGCAATTGTTTGTTGTTTGTGAATTATCATATACATTATTTAGAAATACACTCATTTCCCTCTTGTAAACTGCTTCTTCCCATCATTATCTTTTACCATATCATGTGTTGTCAACCCTTCTCCCAGTAGCTAACAACTAGCCAGTCACTGGCTAGGATGGACTCAACAAGTCTAATGGGCTTAGTCCCTGACAACACGAAAACCATACTGTTGTTGCTGTACACAATTCAGTAATCCTTTCATTTTTATTTTAAGTAATAAATACTGCATGTACTAACTACAAATACAGTAGCATCTCCACATCTGGAGGATGATGATTGGAACGTGGTCCGGATGATGAATGAAACTCGGTTTGGATGTTCATCAATCTAGATTTCAGAATATTTGTTCTTTTTTTGGCAATTTATCTCTCAATATCTCAGTTTTTTGTAGAAAAAAAAAAAAATATATATATATATACTATATATGTTTCTGCATATCTAGACAACATATAAATAAGGATTCTGTTCTGTTGACATAACAGTATGTTTCCAGTGTTGGGACCAGGAAGCTGTTACTTATTTAGGTCAATGACCGCCTATTTCCCAGGATGGATCCCATTACAGTTGAATAACTCTCAGGTACTTATTTACTGTTAAATGAAGAGAAGCATTGGGGTATAAAGAAACTTGCCCAAATGTTTCTCCCAGCCTGGGACTCAACTTTGGCCCCAATTAGTTGCAAGCAGACTGCTAAATTGTTTATTTATATTTTTTTCCTTCTAGGATACCCACAATACACATGTCCTCTCAAGCAAAATACAAGGTAAACATCATGAAGAGGCAAGTAACAACTTAAGATGTAAACTGTTAAACAGACCAGCGTCAGGAGCAGGTTCACGAGGAAAGATGTTCTCTCAAGGAGGTAGTCGTCCTGCAAGGTATGTGTTATTTGTGTTAATTTTGAACATGATTAAAGATCAGGAGTAATATAGAAAACAAAAATTAGTTTCAATTGTAGAAGTTTAATTAACCCTCAAAAGTGTTTTTATCTTCATTGGACTAATCGCTTAGGGGAATGTGGTCGTCATGAAGTAAATGTCTATTGTGCATGAGCATATGAGTTCTTATGATGCCCATACAGTTCCAGTTGCTCAATAGAGTTTCCCAGCAGTCATGAGAGTCCACAAAATAATTGATTCGGAGGTACTTCAACTCCTGGCGTCCCTTATCAACATATGAATGCACTTATCTGACCAACATTAGAGCTTCACTGTGTATATTTTAGTATTCCTTTTACTTCAATATATAGATGCCTTTCATTTGCATATTATTTCATACAAATTTTTATTTTTTTCTGGGGTGAGCCCCTTCGGCTCCCCGGAGCTATCCGGGCTGATACGAATGTATTAGACCCTGGCATCAGTCAATGTGCATGAAGTTCTAGGCTTAGAACTTGTGGCATTGTGGCCTACCAGGGACCTCCAGGCAGAATCTGGCCCCCTCAGAGAGGCACGAGGAGCAATGGCCTATAGAAACCCCCATGTGGTTGGAAGCATTCTGTCTGCCATCGACCGGGTCAGGCACCCAGAAAGTTAAGCACCCCAAAACAAACCCCTATTCTGGTTAAAATATTACCACTGAAAGCCGAACTGATGGACAGAACTCTCCCAACTGAAAACGAGCAAATGAGCATGATATCACCACGTCACCGCGCCGCTGTCTGCGCAACCCCCCTCCTCCTCCCCAGGAGGGGGAAGGGAGAACCCCAGACCTTAGTGCCGGCTATCCACCCTGCATTTCTGTGGCTGATGTGGAACTGGCAAGGTTGTGTGCCTCTGGCTCCAGAATTTTCCAGATCTGTGCCTTGTGGTGTGGTGCTGTCTCTTTGGTGGTGTGGTAGCCAGGAGTAATTTCTTCAGTATTCAGGCTGCATGCACCTAGGGTTCCCTTCCCTAGGTGCCCTGTAAGTACTGCCTTTGGGGGCTTTGGGTTACCTTTCACAAGTCACCTTGGGATCTACAGTGCCTCCGCTGTGTCATTTGCTGATCGGTAATTGACCGTCCTTGGGGTCGGCAGGGGTGTTTCTTGCTCCCGTTTGCCTCTGGGTAGGGGGTAGTTTTCATCAATAATTGGGGAGCAGAGTACTGTGCATCTAGTTATAAGCTCTCATAGCGGTCAGCTCTGTTCTGCCTGGGCACTTTGTCCTCTTGCTGGGTTTTTTCTTTTTATTTTTGTTTTCCTGCCTGGTGGGGGGGTCTACACCTTGGTTTGGTCATACCCTTTGTATTTTGGCGGTCCTCCACTAGGCTCACACGAGTGTACACATCACGAGGGTTCATCTTTAGCAGTTTACTTGGAAGTTTTTGGGTGCCGACTAACAGTACCCTGCCTGGGCTTCCCTAAGCAAGATAATGTGACTAAGGGCCCTGGGAAACCCTGCAGGGGCTCTTTGGTCCAATGGACGTGACCCCTGGGTCCCCTCTCCCTTCGTGCGAGTTTGAAGGTTGCTCTGTCCTCATGTCTCGGGGTGACACTCACCAGCTGTGCCTCCGTCATGCTGCCTGTTGGGTTGGTGACACTTTTGACCCAGAGTCTTGCGAGTTTTGTTCCTTGTTTGTACTCCAATTCACCCAGTTCACTGATCATGATATGCGGGTGCAGGCAGCTTCGGCGTTGCATGCTCGATTTCAGTTGTTGCAGTGCACTAGGTAGATTGCTAACCCGGATGCCCCAAGACTGGGGCATCCAGGCATGTATCTCGTTTTGGTTATAAGGACCTGGACTTTGGGGGGGGGGAGTGTTAGTCGCCTCGACTTTGCTTCCGTCTGCACCCCCTTGTCCTTCCCTTTCTGTTGTTCATCCTGGTTCTTACCCCTTGCTTTCGGCTCCGAAGTGTCTGAGGGTTTCAGAGTCTGGGCAGGTTTTAGTTAGCGTTGAGACTCAAGGGGTGGGGGGGGGGTGCCCATTCCGGTATGGCGACAGAGGCATTCAAGCTTTGTCCACCAGCTAGATCTTCTGGGTCTGACCAGTGGGCCCCCTTTGTTGCTGCTTTTTCGGCTGCTCTTGCTTTTTCTTTCGAGGGGGGAGGTTTGGAGGACGGCTCAACCCTGGGTCCTCGTGGTGAGGTTCCCGGAGCGGAGGGGGGGTTGACTTAGAGGGGGCCTTGGGCCCCGTAGGACTCCATTTGGGTTTTTGCACCTAAGGGGGCTTGGTGTAATAGGGAGTGAGTTTTCCCTGTCCTCGTATGAGTTATATTTGGCATCTACCCCTCCCCGGGTTTGGTTCCATGATCCCATGGGTTCTTCAGTCCCATCTTTCCAGAGGTTTTCGGCCTCCTGCATCCCGCCTCATGTTGTGCAGGAGGCCATTGCGGCTTACCCCTGTGAGACCTAGATTACGCTGTCATAATGGATTCCTCTTTTTTCGTGTATGGATCTTCCTGTCCCTACTGGGTTCGTTACATGCATTCCGGAGTCATCCTGGCTTGCCCACTGCCCCTTTTTCTTGTCGGAGACATGGCATTCATTCTGTCCGTCATGTGCACTTGAGTGGCACGAGGCTTATGCGGTGGTCCAGATTTTCCTGGGGGGGGTGGGGGCGACTTTGAGCGCCTCTATGCGTGTTTGTTCGCCCCTGCCCTTCCTCTGGATGTTGATGTGGTGCACCTTCACATGCAGGTTCCTTCCCTTTTGGCTGCATTGGTTGCCGAGGACTTGCGTGTCCGTGGCCTGTTAGCTTTGGTCCTGCGATTCTTTTCCCTTCTCGAACTGTCCTCGGACTGGCTTGAGGACGACGTGGAGGCACTTGGGGCTGCTCCTGGGTCTGGTGCGTTGGCCCCGGCAGTGTGTGTGGCTGCTCTGCTCCTGCCTGCGGATGCAGTGTCACTATTTTTTGCTTCCCGTCTTGTGTGGCAGGCGGTGCTTGCTTCCTCTGTGGAATCCTTGGGCCCTGGCTCTTAAGATTTTCGGCTTCTGCCTTTTTCGCTATTGTTTGCCCTGTTTCTTGTGTTGGCAGGCGGTTTGCTTCCTCTTTTGAATTTGCAGAGTCTGCAGAGTCTGCAGGCAGCTTCTTCTAGTTGCCGTCCCATGTCGGATTTGTTGGTTCTCCGGGGAGGGGACCATGAGGGGTCTTCCCGGAAGGGTTGTGTCAGGCTTTGGGGTTTCTCCCATTGTGGTAGGCCAGTGGTGCCAGTTTCAAAGCCGGTGCAGCCTTCGGGACCATCTTTGTTTGGTTGGCACGGTGTTTGCTCTGTGCAGAGGTTGGGTTCCCGTAAGGGGCATCCGCTCTTTCATGGTTCGTCCCATTGACAGAGTGATGGGGGGAGGTTCGCACTGTTTGCTCATGCCTGATCCCACAATTTGTGGGCCTTGCAGGTCGTTTTGAGCGGCCTGCTGTGGTGTTGGGTGGCCCTTCCTCCTCCTGGAGGTTCGGGGTTGGCGGGACAAGCCTCTTCTCCTGCACTTTGTCAGGTCATCTCGGAGTGGGTTCGCATGGGCATGGTCGAAACGACCTCGTCACTCAGGTGGGTCTCACCCCTGTTTCCAGTTCCGAAACAGGACTGCGCGGCCCTCAGGTTCATTCTGGACTTGTACTGTCTGAACCCCTGGGTTTTTTGCCCCTCCTTTCGGATGACTACTCTGTCCTAGGTCTGTCTTTTGTTGGAGCTGGGGTGCTTGGATGGTGTCCCTAGACCTCAAGGATGCATATTGGCACATCCCGATTTATCTGGGGTTCAGGGTCTGGCTTGGTTTTGTGGTGGGGCGTCAACGTTAACTCTCTGATCCATAGGCTGGATGAGAGAGGTTGTATTAGGAGGAAGGGCCATCATGTGAGATTAACGTGTAAATTCTGGGGTGGGCTGACGCATTATCAAGCAACAGCAAAGCCCGAACTTTGTTTGGCCTTAATTTTAGTTTCTTGATGATCGCGAACTTCCTTGCAGAACACATCATGAAACAAAGAAAGAAAGATCATCTGTGTAAACCATGCATTCTTTGAGTTACAATATTTCACAGGCAGTCTGTCCAAGCAGTGTTGCAAGGCTCTTGGTTTCTTTGATTTGCCAACAATTGCACACATGATTTTGTCTGTGCTGTCAGCATTGGCACACATCATGGCCGACAGCCTGTCCTTGTTAACCTTACGGCCTGGCACACAACCCTCGCCCCTCATAGCTAGAGTTTTTTCGGGTAAACTCCTCCAATACAGCTCGGTTTCATCAATGTTATAGATTTGATAAGAATATAAATTATTAGACAAAGTGTATGTTCTTAATTTGTGGTTTATATAATAATAATGGTTCTAAACTGCTTGTATCTGCACTCAATTTTTCACTGACAATTTTCCTCTTCACAATATTGTGCCTCCCTTTGAATATTGCAATCCACCCTTCACTTGCTTGGAAATCCTGTATTCCAAGGCTGCTTGCAAAGCTGCTTGCAGCATCTCTTATTTCTTGACTGCGAATTGTCAAGCCAGCTGTGCAGTGCTGAGCAAACCACTTCTACACAACCTCATCCAACTGTGCATGCCTTGAAGGCTTCAAAGTTCTTCTACTGCACCCTCTGCTAGTGCTTTCACCTTCACTCTCCCTTGTTGAAATGTATTTCATGTATTCAGCTTTTTGTTTCCTTACGTCAGAAACAGTACTAGTGCCTATACCAGAGTCCTTGGCAACATTTACAGCCAACCGGCCACTTTCACAGACTTCTGTAACACATAATTTGTCCTTAATTGTTAGCACAACTTTTCTTCCTCTTAACACCTCCAGAACGATTGCTGCTGCTTCCAGACACAGTCTTGGCAAAAAATGATCAAAGTAGTATGAAAACAAAAAAGTTACGTAAGAAAATATTTCAGTAATGGCGTGGGACTGTGGTATAACGAGAGGGGTCGGGAGCACATGAACTGTTTTGCTTGACCAGGCCTAGACGGGTCCACTTGGGACAGGCAAGCACGTTACATAGGCCACCAGGCGGAAAAAATTCCAGTACTGTAGAATCAAACTACAGTCTTCAGCCTGTGCAAATTGTTTTTAAGAAACTTGTATTTGTTATATACTGTATTAGATAATATTTCTTTAGTTTTTACTGTGATGAATTGTTCTAAAGTAATTATTGGTTATTATAGGCCCCTCCACATGCTCCTTATCCCCACAGGTAGTCCCTCCCAACTCTCCCCTCTCTCCTGACTCCCCCTACTCTCAAACCAGCCACCCCAACACCTATACCACGCGCCTCGAGCCACAGTCGTACGGGACTAATATGGTGCGGCCTGATGCTTGATGTATTCAGAAGAATCTCTGGTTGTCCAGATTTCAGTCCAGATATGGACACATCGGTAGAAAGTTATCCGGATCTGATTTAAACTCTCCATCAGTATACAGTATCTGTATGGGACATTACCTACCAAAGTTTCCCTATGTGGGCTGTCACTGGCACTGGATTTGGGCTCCTCGTATTACCCATGGCATCTTTTAGCCCACTGGTTCCCAAACTGGGGGCCATAAGGTGGGGCCTATATTATTTTACAATATGTGGGAGGCATGGCCCTCTACCAAGTGTAGAGGGTCATTAATAGGGATGCTATATGTAAACGGTTAATGATGGTAAAGTTTGGGAACCACTGTGAATTAAATTTAGTGGGAGGTTTTGGTACGCGTATCTCCAGAGGATCTGTGACTGTGGATGCCTCTGCAGCTTCCATCGGGGAAACCTGATGTAAGCTGCAGAGGGAACTTGCAGGGAACCATCTGCAATGCAGGGGAACCTATTCAATGACTTTATTTTCAGGGATATTTCACCTTTTGTCCTTACCTTAGAGAGCAACTAAGTGGCATAGTCCAAAATAAGGTTCTTCAGTTAATGACACTGAGCAGATCACTTCAGGAAGTATGTGGGATGGCTTGGGTTAAGAAAACCTGTTGTAGTTTTGGTGATACAAAGTTGTGGAGGTCAATTCGTGTGGCCTGGCTGGCCAACCAGTGGTTAATGTACACACCTTGGCAGTCACTTGCGATGAAATGGTGTGTTTGGAAGAGCTGAGTTTTGTAAATTAGCCTTTTGAAGATCATTGTAGGGTGAATTTTATATTTTTTCTGCACCACCATGATTGCAGGAACATTTAAAAGGTTCCTTGCAGTAAATATGAAGTATATTGATCTGCCTTGACAGTTCATGATCTTGTACTCTGGACCCAGAGGGATCTTGCAATTGGGAGAAACTGTGTTCTGTTCAGAAATAAGCTTTTTGTATTTAATCAGATCCTTATTTTTAATAATTTATTTTTCTTTACAGTGGCAAGAGTGCCAGTGGTGTTCCTCATCTTGGCCTTGGAAACTCATCCTCCAGTGACTCTGATGCCAGTATGTTTCAGGAAGGCAGGCAGACAGTCAGACCCTTGCATGGAGGATCTTTATGTACTCTCCCTGGTAACTTGAATGCCGACATTGTTAGTAAAGGCAAGCTTTGGAATTCAAGAAGTGAAAATATGGCTGGGTACCTTGAATCAGATCATTGTAATGGAAATCTTCACATTAATAATTCAGATAGGGAGTACAGGTCACTTCCAGATCTTCAAAGCAAGTCCAGTTTAAAAGATAATTATACTGGTAAAATTGCTGGAAATGGTAAATCAAGAGGAGCAACTACATATGGTGGGGCAAGAACAAGACATGGGAGTATAAGCCATCAAGAAGTTCCACAAGAGTCCATTCATCCATCATATTCTAAGAAAATCTTTATGGCTTCAGAAATTATCCAGGCCAGTGATTATACAGATGAAGATGGCGGAGAAGCACAAGCAAATATAGAGATGGAAAGAATTTTTCAAAAATGCAAAATGGTAATTACAGTACTTGTATTTCATTCATTAATAGCTTGATGTAGTTTGCAGCGTTAATTAAGGAACTGCGGTTACCCAGCTGATCGACTGCTAAACACAACATTAAAACAAAGCCACATTTAAGTCTTATGTGCTTCTGAGTAAACAGGATCAAACTTAAAAATCCAAAATAAAAAACAAACATCACTTTAATAAAACATAAAACCTATCACCTACAATACATCTGACTTGCACACACAAGATAATAATGACACAAAAACACAGATAAACAAATTATAACTCAGTGACTCAGACTTGTACACAACAATAAAGCAATAAAAGGAAATTATATTACCACACCCACAAATCTTGCCGAACTGCCCGGGCATTTTCTTAAGACCAGTGGAATTTCAACCTTCACCAGATGAGCATCCAATATCAATTGCTGTCTGGTGGTACACCACCCTAGACGTCATCTCACATCCCTCCACCCCCCCCCCCCCCTTCTCTCGAAGCGTGGGTGATGTGACCCATAACCACTCGTGCCGGTAGTTACATGGTGAGCCATACTTAACTTAACCACTGCACTGCTCTGCATTAAAATATGACACCCCCATGGTGTGCCAAAAATCAATACTTTCTAAAAAAATTAATTTCTCCTCTGTTGTTAAAATGCACTCCCTGATTGAAGGAAACTAAACAAAAATATTGTATGACATACTTTAACCATGGTGGAGCTGGGAAGTTGAGCAAATTATGGGCACTGAGCGAAGGAATGCTGAAAGTCACTCGGCCCCGCCACCCCGCAGGGCGACAAGTGTCGCGAATATAATGTTTCACAATTATTTTGATGTTTTACATTTGTTTCTATTGTTTTTTTTTTTTTTTTTTTTTTTTTTCTGTAATATTATTCAAAAGTGTGTAATTTGTGGAATTTATTTAGTTCAATGTGTGGAACATCTATATTCTCAAAATAATGGGACTAATATACGAGACACATGTATACAGTATATTCTACGATCAATCAAACAATTTTTTGCTGTTATTACACTATATATAAACATTGTATATACCTATCTACATATGTGTTCACCATAACAAACCACTAAGTTGGCATGGTGAACCCAAAAAAGGGTTGGTGTGGGCTGCCACACCCAGCCAGCCCTCTCTCACTCCTTCAACACCTTCCTCACCAACATTGCTCCTTCCAGAATACTGTTTGTGGATTTATTACACTATATACACATGTTATTTATAAGTATCTACATGTTTTATTCACCAAAACTGTACAAGTAAGCTGGTATGGTGTCCAAACAACATAATGGCAACCAAACACTGCATGAGAAGCGCACAGCATCCAGCAGTCGCCGCTGGAAGATGACGCTACCTTCCTCCCTCCTTCCTCACCATGATTACTCCTCCCATAATACTACGCACATCTCTAATTCTCACCACAATCCTGCTATTATCAGAATCCTGGTCACTAAATCCTGTAAATGAATAAGTTTCAGCAAGTTTATTTTGTAAATGAACATGAGAAGTCATTTGAAGATTCTTAGATGGACGAAATAATGTCTGCTATTGCTGTGAACATCTTGAGCAGCATTGATTCACTGATATCTAAACATTGTACAGTCATTATCACACTCAGGCTCTTCTGTAATACTATCATGGTTAAATAATACCAGTTACATATTTTGACATTTTTAGGTGATGCTGTGGTCACAAGCTGAGCAGTAGTGCTGTTAGTTCATGCTGCATGTACCAGCCTTAAGTTGCTCACTCAGAACTAAGCCTCTCACACTCGGGAATGTTGCCCACGATTTTTTTAAAATGGCGTCTGTTTATGAGAGAAAGCTGATGTGAACCTTGTGTAGCTGCAGGAGTTTTGAATGCTACGCTATATTTACGAGAGCCTCAAGGCACATTGCGCACCACCCATTGGGAGCCTCAAGGCGTGTTGTGAGGTGCAGTGGTTAAGACAGGGAATGAAAGTCACACAACAATGAACGTAGAATAGTGTATAATACAGAATATGTTCATAATAAGGGTATGTGAACCCTAGAGTTGATGATAGACTGCAATGGGGAAGCCAAAACCTGTACACAGAGGGTTATGATATGACAAGTTAAACAAGCTCCCCCCACCTCCCCCTACCTATTTCCCAGCACAGACCTATGCAGTAAGAGTTCCATGCACCTGTCACCTTGAAAGCAAGCACTGGACTCTTGGCAGAATAATTTTGTTAGCACTTTCTTCCTGATATTTGCATTAAAGCTGTCAAACTTGAATGAGTATACACCCTCACCGTCTAGCCAGATGTTGACATGAGGGGGCTTTGTGGGTGGCTGCTGGGGTGTGATGCTTAATTGGATGGCATTTCATGCCCTCTTAGAGCCTTGTGGTCCTGCAGCCTTCTTTACTAATTTTGCTAAGCTCCTTTTTCTTTATATATACAGTGGTACCTCGAAATACGAGTTTTTCGGAATACAGTCTCCTGTCCGGCTTTTGTTGGGGCCGGGTGCCTGGATGGTGGCCCTGGATCTCCATGTCACTGCTTGGCACATTCCTCTCCAGTTTTCTGGGACTGGCACAGTTGGTGGTGGGGCTTCAGGCTTGCTGCTTTTGTTGCCTTCCCTATTTTGTAATGGGCACTTGGTATATTTTTTTTGCATCTTTACCGGATCTTAGTGCCCTGTCTGAGTCTGAGATTCGGTGTCTGGCCTACCTCGATGACTGGCTGGTGTGGGCTCCCAGTCAGTCCGCTTGTCTGCTCGCCAGGGGTGTGGTTCTTTCCAGATCGCCGGGTTTGGTTTCCTGGTGATCTGGAGGCCATTCCATCTGTTTCCGTCCCGGGGTTCGGACTTGGGCCTTGTTTAGGGCTATTGGGCCACTCATTGTCTTTCCCTCCAGAAGTGTTACTGCGTCTGTGGTCCCGCCTTCGGCTGTACATGAGGGGGTCCCGGGTTGCTCAGCGGTTGCTTGAGCAGTTGTGTGGGAGTCTGAACTTCGACGTGCTGGTCTGCCCACTGAGTCGGGTTTGGCTTTGGCGTCTGTTTGGTTCCTTCGGAGACTTCCCTTCCGCCTCTTGCATTCATTGGGTTCGTTCCTCCGAGGATCTTGTGTTTGTGCTGTCACCAGCTTCCTCTTTGGGGTTTTCGGGGTTCCGTGCCTTGGCACCTCCCCGAGCCTTCGCTCGACATGTTCACGGACGGGTCATCTCTTGGCTGGGGCTTTGTGACCAGTGCTCACCAGGTCGGCCGAGGTTGGTGGAGTCTGTCCGTCCGTCGGGCTCACAGCACGGTTCAAGAGTTCGTGGCTGTCTGGTTTGCGCTTCGGAGGGTTTGGGTCACTCGGTGCTCTACCATTCATCTCTGTTCGGACTGTTCTCTGGCGGTTCTTGCCAGAACCAAAGGGGTTTGGCTAACCATGAGGTTCATGTCCAGGGTGTGTCCTACGTTCTGGCGGACAGCTGTCCCGGTTCATTCTTCTCTTCGCGGATTGGCCAGTCATCGCCGACTCGTTTTGTTGGCTCTGTCGGACGTATGGACTCCTGGCCGTGGACGTCTTCGAGTCGGCGTGGTCTAGGCGTTGCCCATTTTATGTGGCGCCCTTTCCCACCTGCGAGGCATTCATGGTGGATGCTTTTCGGCAGGACTGGTCGAGGTGGGGGTACCTGTTCCTCTTCTGGTCCAGCTGTTGCTTCGGGTTCTGGCTCGGTTGGAGCCCATTCCCACGAGAGTAGTCCTTTTGGTCCCTTGGTGGCTGGCCCAGCTTTATTTTCAGACACTGCTTGATAGGTGTCCGAACCCGGGGCATTTTCCCGCGGCTCCGCCTCTTTCGGCAGGTCGGACCAGTCCTGTACGTGACTGGTTCGGCCTTCTCCTCGGCTCTACGCGTCTGGTATATTGACACGGGTATCACCATCTTTGTGGTGATCAGGTGGCTTTGTTGACGGTGTCCCACCTGCGAGCTTCGTCTTGGCGACAGTATGACGTTCCTGGTGTTTCTATGCACTTTATTCTTGCTCTTCGTAGGTTGTCTTCTCTTTCGAAACGGGTTCTCTTGTCCTTTCTTGGGTTTTCAGGACTACAGTTAATTGATGTTTCTTACTGTCGCCTCATTTTGTGTGGCGCTGGCGGAGCCGCTCCGGCTTGCGTTCGGGGTGGACATCACATCTGCCCCGTTTCGTATGCTTTCTTGTGTTTTTTGTTTTACCTCCGGCCTGCTTATGCGTTGCCTGAGCCATCCTGGTCCTTGATCAGGGTGCCTTCTTATCTTCTCCCCAGTTTGTGGTAGCCCCTTCGGTTCAGATTTCTGCTCTTTGGTACTAGTGGTAGGTTTGTACGTTTGCAGCCTTTCTCCGTCCTTCTGGCGACGTTCGAGATGGCTGCTTTCCGGAGGGGTTCTTGGGTTATTGATGCTTGATTGGTTCGGCCGGGGGTGCATCCTGTGTTGTCAAGTTGTGCTTTTTTGCCGTTACCTGCGTACCGTGTCTGGGGATTGCGCTTTGGGTTGATCTGGTTCCCCTCGTTCCCTGTTTCAGGGCTTGGGTCTCTCAGGTCGTCTGCAGAGTTTTTAAGTCTTCCAGCCTGTGGTCTGTCCTTGTGCCCGTGCTGTTCGGATGTTTGCAGCTTTTGCTGCTGTGTTTGTGAAGTCTAGGGCTCATTTCGGGCACAGGGATTTGAGGGTCGCACAGGTTCTTGGCCGCCCATTCTTTATGCACGTCTGCTCCTGTGCGTTCTTGTTGCCTTGGGTCGCAGGTTGCAGCCTGTTGTCTCGGCTATGCGTTGCTGAGTTTATGGCGGCTGCCTCCCGGGTCGGACCTTTCATTTCCTTGTCTTTGGGTATAAAGCTTCAGGGAGCTGTAGGGGCTCCCCACAGAAAACCAGCGTTGAATGTAATGAAACCCCATTTTCTGGGTGAGCCCCGGAGGCTCTCTGGCAACCCTCCCTCCCACCAGTCGGCGTTTTTTTTTGCGTTGGTTGAAGCTTAGCTTTAGAACTGATGCTAGGCAGCTGGCACGGTAGGTCCGGGGTTCCCCCCCCCCTCTCCCTCTCGGGGCGGGGAGGGCTGCGCGGACGATTGGCACGGCAGTAAAGTGTGATGTTTGCTTGTTTTCTTGTTTCCTTGGGATTGTATGGAGTTTCTACCTCTCTGTTTGTTTTTTTAGATTTTTACCATGTAGGGTTTTTGTTATGCCTACCTTTCTAGGTGCCTAACCCCGGTCGATGGCAGATAAGGAAAACCCCAATCACAAGGGGGTTTTTCAGGGCCATTGCTCCCTGAAACCTCTCTGAAGCGGCCAGGTTCTGGCGCTGGTCCCTGGTAGGTCTGAACTCCTTGGCTAATGCCCCGGTCTAATATAACATACATTAACACTTTCGCTCACCCCGCACGCCACCCCTCAATAGTGCGATATGGGACCCAGGGTGTCACGGGAACGCGCGTAAATTCTGAAAAGTGTATACTCTCTTCAACTTTGTCACCTTAATTCTCGTCCTACGAGATTAAATTTGGTATCATTGTGTTCGCAATAGAATTCTCTACAGCACTAAATGCATATAAACTCCAAAAGCCCGGCTAATTACCCGCAGCAAACAGAGAAAGTACGAACGAGTTACCCAGGAGCGCGCAAACGCGATAAAATGTTTTCACTATTTTCACTCTGGTCACCTCAATTTTTGTCCTAGGTCTTTCTTTTTGGTCTCAATGGGTTCGCAATAGAATTCTCTAGAGGAACATTAGCATATAAAATATAAAACCTGGTCACGCTCCAACTGCCAACGAGTTGAAGACGGGCCACGCGTTAGCCGGGAGTGAGCGCTCAGATGCCTTCCAGCTACACTCCCAATTCCCTCCCTTTTCAAGCCTTTCTTTCGCAATTTTCTTCCTGGAAGGGCCTTGTTCATGATCACTATCCATCGTGGAGTAAGGGTAGATAGTTTCTAAAGCCGCAGTAAGAAATATAGCCACGGAAAATAGCCGAAATGTTCACACGTTTGAGATGCGAGGGGAGGCGACATTGGTCACAACAGTGGAGCGAAAACAATGGGCCCACGGCATGTGCCAAGCCACCTGAGGGCCACGAGGCTCAACAAAGAAAATGGGAAGACATCGGCGCACATTTTAAAACCAGTCCCAAAAAAATCGGATAAAAACCTGATTTTTGGCGATTATTTAAAGTGGATGACGCAATGCTGCGTCATGCCCGGGCGAAAGTGTTAACCCGATAAGCCCCAGGGAGCCTCCAGGGCTCACCCAGAAAATGGCGTTTCATTACATTCAACGCTGTTTTTTTTTTTCCCCCCCCCCAAATAGTGGTTTCCTACCTTTTATGGGCAAGTGCCTTCCATACCCTCCTGCCACTCCTCCCCCTTAAAAAAGTAAGATCAGGAAGTAATGAAGTAGATGATTCATTTCAGTTACAGTATTTTGTAAATTTTATTTTGCCTTTAATTTCAGATGAAAACCATTGCTAAAGAAGCACCAGGCATAGAGGCTCCTACTCATGACACATTCATTGATGAAGACCCGGCAAGTATTACCTTGCAAAAGCTTAATCAAGTGTCTACACTTCTTTCTCAATATGTTTCCCAATCTTAAGAAAGGCTAACTTCTTATTTCATACTTATCATTTCCATGAAAATTATTAATTAGTTGTGCTCGTTTATGATCTTAAATTTGTTAAATCAAAGTTGCTGTGATATTGCAAATGTTGCAAATCCTTAAAGTTATAATTATCCCTGTTAAAACATTATTGTTTATCTGCTCTCATTGACATTCTCATTCTTCATTATTATTTGCATATGCGTATTTTGCTATCATATCATTCATTAGTCATTACTTTATGGCTGGTGCTAAGCTGCTTCACTATTCCATTGTTATTTGGCTTTGTCTTCAGTAGAGTAGTGTTTGCTTAAAGCCTTTACTAAACCTCTTGCTTCCATTCTGTCGATGGCATTTTTCACGCCACCCCACAAAACTGGTAAATGAGATTACATTACTTTTTCAATGTCTTTTCTTTAAATTTTAATTTTTTGAGAATTAGGACAGTATTTTATGACCCATGTTGGCTCTAGTTTCCTTGGGCAATTCAATTGATGCTCACAGCAGATATATAGTGACATCCCTGAAACAATGTTTTTATGCTAATGATTTTATTAATTTATATTTCAATTATTCATTCTTCAAATTGGCAACCAAAATAAAAGATTGTTTGGTCAATGCTTTAATATACAATATCTTGTTTGACCTACAGTTAATCGTCCACTCTCTTGGTTCTTCTTTTAACCCGTTTCTTTCTAATCAATATTATTTGAAAAATAAAAAATATTTGGCCCCCTCCCCCAAATGTGTACATGGCACTATTAAATGTTGCTAATTTTTAAAGCATACTGAACATTGATTAAAAGCTGTTTAAAAGTACTGTGTTACTAACTTGATCTGTGGACAGACCATTTAAGATACATTTCCTAGCATTTAGGAGCATGATTTGTAGAGGATTGTGGTGATGGTGGATATGGTTCTCACTTCATTCATTTCATATATTCACCTGATAATCCTCTTATCTGTTTGAGCATTTAATGATATCCTAATTTTAATCATGATCACAAAGAATATATTTCTTTTTAAAATTTTGATCTGTGTATTTATGTATTTGAAATGGGCTTAGTTTTAAATAAAATTTAGTAACTTGAAATGCAATTTTATTTACAACTGAGATAGGTAGCTAAATAATGCCTTTAGCTGCAGGGCCGTCTTAACAACATTATGGGCCCCTGGGCAAACCAGCGAGCTATGGCCCCCTACAACAACCACTCGCAGGAATAAAACGTGAATGGTTGATAATATTAAACATATTTATTTTATTGGCACTTCAACAAAACTGGTGTTAAAACATTAAAAACATGCTGAAGAGCAGCAATTAATCAACATGATAAACATTTGAACAATACACAAGGATTGACAAACACAATAATACTCAGTAAGCTACACAGATTAGATACCACAGTATGAAATATCTGCACTACGAACTACTACTTATAACTTGCATTTGCAACATTTCTTTTCAGAGAATTGCTTTATTATTAGCTTGAAGTAAATGGTCTTCAGGATGTCATTTTCCATGCACTTGAGTGAAAGCCAGTTCAAACGATGCTGCCACATTGTGCTACACAGCAGATTTTTTATAAGTTTCAGTCTTGGAAAATAATGTTCTGTACAGTTGGTCACTATTGTGCAAATGAGCACTTGAGTGCAATTTCAACATTCAGGAATACAGATTTCAAATTGTCTCAAATTATTTCTCTGTACAGTGCAGGGAGTCTCAGATTTCATCAAGAGCCATGAAGTGCGTGAGATGCTCACATTCATTTAAAATGCCTTCATAATTCAGGTCTTTGTGATACATATTAGCCAAATGTTCACACTTTTTCTTTAGTACATCAGAAGCAAAAAGATTACAGTGTCCAGAATGGGGAGGAAAGTTTCCACCTTGAATTTTTCAATTTTAATGAGAAGTCCCTCTTCTGCTGATCCATCATATCTACCAAGACGTATACTGTACTGTACTACGTTTTCGTTCCCATTTTTTCCCATCACTTTAATCTGTATCTGGATACATACTCTTGACTTTGAATTTATTTTCACTAAATTTGCCTCTAGTTTTCTGAAGATAGGTTATCATAGACTCAAGAAGATTCGTGGCAACAAGAATGTTCACACCTTTTGATTGTTTTGTTCATTCTTTCTAGCATGTCATTCAAAAAAATTGTGAGAAAGATTGTTTTGTTCATTCTTTCTAGCATGTCACTCCAAATTATTGTGAGAAAGATTGTTTCTAGGTTTTCTTTTTTTTTTTTTTTTGCTCAATCCTTCTGCCTCTCGCCTTGTATTCACTTGTTGTTCATTGTCAGCTGATAAGCAGTCCATTGTATATTTTATTTTCTCAAAATCCCCCAAACAGAGCATAAACAGCATAAAAAATGTGCTGACCATCATGTGTCGGACAGATACTTAACAACAAAATCTTTTCCTAAAGATGTCAGTACATTCCAGCAATGAGTAGAACCAGCAAAAAATGAATACAAATGCTGAATAAAGTAAAAAAATTTGACACTTTATAGACAACACTGGGCTGCTTTTACTCCCACCAAGTTCAGGCTGTGTCCAGCACAGGGGACATAGATGGCAAACTCATTGAGTTGATTCCATGCTTGTACTCCAGTATATAGTCCAGACATATTTTAGGCATTATCATATGACAGTTTGATAGTGGAATTTTGTTCTCATAAAAAAAATCTATGACAGTGTCTGCTAGATCATTTGCTCCACGAGAAAAGATGGGGATGAACATAAAGAAATGTTCCACAGGCTCACAGCATTTAATGTATTGGAGAGTAAATATCAGTTGATCTGTGTGTGAGATGTCTGGAGTGGAATCTACACTTATTGAATAATACTTTGACTCTTTTTTTTTACTTCTTCAAGAATTCCTTTCTTCAGTTCAAGACCTCCTTTCGCATGAGCTACTCTGTCCCAGGTCCGGCTGCTTTTGGATCCGGGCGCTTGGATGGTGTCCCTGGACCTCCGGGACACTTACTGGCATATCGTGATTCATCCCAGGAACTGGCTTGGTTTTGTCGAGGAGTGGCGAGCTTACTACTTTTGTTGCCTTCCATTCGTCCTGAATCTGGCACCTCACATTTTCACATGCCTTACCTGTGTCGTGGTGACCTGTTTGCGTCTGTTAGGGGTTTGGGTTCCGACTTACTTCGACAACTGGCGAGGACGAAAATCCGAACCTGGGTGTATTCAACCTAGGGTTCTGCAGCACCGACAAATCATCAATGAAGATTACTTTCACCACCTTATTTGCTGCCACCCACGCTGTCACACAAGGTTTCTACTTCAACTTCAGATAGACAATGTTAACATCAGCAATAAAAATGATGGAAAGCTGCACTATACTTAGACAAGAGATTCAACTTGAGCGCCCACATACAACACAAAACCAAGAAAGTCTCAAAAACTGTTGGTATACTCTCTAAAATCAAATATTATGTTCCAAACTCTGCCCTCCTTTCACTATACTACATGCTATCCCTATCTTACATAGGGTACCTGTGCATGGGGCTCAACCTCTGCAAACTACCTCAAGCCCATCTTCACCCAGCAAAAATCTGCCTATAAGAATTATAACAAACTCTGCTTTCAGATAACACTCAGCCCCCCACCCTGTTTGAATCCCTAAACATGCTAAACATAACCTCACTCCACACCTCTTGTGCCAATTACATTTACAAAACCCTGTTCTTAAGTGTAAACCCTGTTCTGAAACTTCTTGGACAGATGTAATAGGACCCATAATCACCACACCAGAAATAAATATATCTTTGATATCCCCAGAGTTAAACTTAATCTGTGTAAATACTCTATGCAAATAAAGGGACCTGGTCTATAGAACTCACTCCCTAACGAATTGAAAAGCTGTCAAATTTTTGCCTTATTCAGAAATATAACCAAAAAGTACCTAATTTCATATTCATAATCTCCTACCTAGTGCTTGAAACTCTGTATCTAGTGCTACCCAATTCCCCAATATATGTACCTATGCCATACAACTTCACCATTGTAATCATTGCTGTTATCTTATATCATGATCATGTTATACACATAGTACAAGAAAATAGTTTAACGTAATCGCCCGCCCATTGCATCCAATAAGCACACTAGGGGCAATGAAGGTAAGTGTCCGAGTTTCCACTAATACTCTTTCCAAAGAGTAAACAGGCCCCAAACCAGCACAGCAGTAAGTAGTGCTCCCGCACAACGAGACACCCTCTGGCCAATGCTTAAGGCCTTCGTCACGGAATTTGTCGAAAGGTTGCTTTCGAAACGCGGTATAAAGCAAACCAACGAGACAATTGAGGCCAAGCTCGAGAAATTCGAAAAAACATTATCCTCACCTTCAAGAACGCAGGGCAGGAAACACTCCAGTACTTCTGAAAGCGCCCTTGATGAGTCAGTTTCAGGTACACCAAGATCCTGAACTCCAATTTCACCTTCCATGGCGAGTTCATTTGACTCCATGGCTGCCACGGTAATATCAGCAAGTTCCAACAACCTAGAGGACTAAAGATCCTGCAATGGAAAGTGCACAAAATTGCAACACTTGCAATGCATAGCATAACCAAAGGCATAGACATCCTGATACTACAGGAGAGCTTGCTTCGAGACGGATTAGAACCTAAAATCTCAGTCTATCGAGGCTTCTTCCTTCCATGGGTGAACGGGCAATCCAAGGGATGTGCCATCTATGTGAAATGTGATCTGATCTCTAAGCCCATAATCAGCCCACCCGATTGTGGGCCAGGGACAGAGGTGATGGGAGTATGGATTGAGCTAAGACACGACAAACTTAAAGTGTTTAATGTTTACAGATCTCCACGTGCTGAAATTGATCTCTCTGTGTTAATTGGACACGCGACCACCTCAAACAATAACTTGTGGCGATTTCAATGCCCATCATCGTTTAGCACTGGGCTCGAACACAACAAATGAGGCCGGCACTCACATAGCACATCTATTAGACCAGCTTCCAGAAATCCAAATCCTAAACAAGAATGAACCCACCCACATCCAAGGAGGTAGATTAGACCTTACCTTCGTTTCAGCCTCCCTGAGAGATGCAGCAACGTCGTCAGTTGAGCCCACACTCACAAGCGACCACTATGTGGTCCAAATTTTTATCTAAAGTTGGAACAACCCACTCCACCTCTACCTCCACCAGAAGCCTGGAACTCCGCTTAGGAAAATGGGACTGATTTCAGAGTTGCATAGAAACTATGTGGCGTAACTAATTAGCACTAACTACACAAACTATAATCATATCCCTATTTACAGTTAACAGTTCTTCCATCCTCCTATCTTATTGGAGGGAGCTGAGGTGTAGTCACCATATATAAGCAAGCGATATGAGAAGAGCAACACCCAGCCTAGAGAACATAAAAAACATCATCACCAAAAAACTCTCACATCTCAACAAACGCCTACCTGCACCAGAGAATAGCTGAAGGTTCGCCATCTGCAACATGGTATCTTCAGGCAACCAAATTAGAAAGGTTAAATATCCCAAAAGGAATCCACAGGGAAATAGCAGTTAGGCTATATAGACTACGTCTAGGTTACAGATGCAACTGGGAGATTGGTGAACCCCGACAGAGAGAGTGCATCTTCTGCCAAACTGTCACAGAAAAGCCATTACTTCACTATCTTCTGGAATGTGAAGCAACCAATGACCTTAGAAGAGCTTTAAGAGTTCCTGAATCATGCAGTGGCCACCCTGAAGCCATCAACAGTCACTCTCCTGGTCAACAAAGGTGTCCAGCAGCTGGACACCCTCATAAAGACTGTGAAGCAGTATCCTCCCCCGCGATAACAGCTTGATGGTTAAATGCAACCTCAGAATACTGAGAAAAAAAAATTGTACCACTTACGGGCTATTCATGCCCGTGCCACCTCTTGGGTGGCTTAATCTTCATCAATCAATCAATCAATGAAGAGCAACATCACGGGAGACATCTCCCGTCACGCAGGGTGCAGTCGCACCTCCACAGATCTCCAGTATCAGCTCTTGATACTAGTAATGGCTCAAAAGGGCCACCACTTACTGGCTATTCATGCCCGTGCCACCTTTTGGGTGGCTTAATCTTCATCAATCATCAATCGAAGAGCAACACACAGTACCGCTTCTGTGCCAGGTAAGTCCACTACGGGCTCACCATAGCCCGTGCTACTTGCCCCGCTCCTGTGCCAGGTAAGTCCACTACGGGCTCACCATAGCCCGTGCTACTTATGTTCCAAGTAGCTGAATCTAAAACAACAGAAGAGCAAACACGGGGGAGACATCTCCCGTCACGCAGGGTGCAGTCGCACCTCCACAGATCTCCAGTATCAGCTCTTGATACTGGTAATGGCTCAAAAGGGTCACCACTTACGGGCTATTCATGCCCGTGCCACCGTTTGGGTGGCTTAATCTGCATCAATCATCAATCAAGAGCAAACAATACAATTTCCAGTCAATAATGTAGCACTCTGCGTATGCAGTTCTAATCGACCCCAAGACGCTACAGCTTCGACACAGAACAGACAGCAGACTAGGACCGCATCCAGCTACAACGCTCTCCCACATAGAGCTCTGCGACTCCGTTCTCACTCAGCTCTCTTCTCTGCTCCAAGCTCCGTCTCAACGTCTACGACACTGCTGTATCCAAGACTACTAAATAAATATGAAAACCCACTAAATACTGTGTATCTAATCTACTCAACAACGTAACTAAACGTACGTTACATACTGGTAAGCACTGACGAGTACCTCTTAACTACTTCCTTTGCAACTAGACCAATTCTAAGTGTTTTTCATATTCATGTTTCTTGTCGATTGCTTTAAGTATGACATTAGTGAGCCAGTTATTATTTAACCTTTTGCCAGTTACTTGCTTGGTGAGGAGAGGACAATAAGTATTGTAAAGGCTTAGAATTTTGGAAAGGAAGAGGCTAGTTAACGAATTTATATCCTGTGTATTATTTAATTCAGCTTCCCAGTTTATATTATGGAGGGCATTTGTGAAATTGCCTATTGCTGCTTCACTGTGTAACCTAAAAGTAATTTTCTTGTTAGCTGGTGGTGTTATGGCCATGTTCGCTACAAGGAAGGTATTAACCCATGGAACCGCCTACCCGCCGGGGTTCAGTCCCTGAGCCCATTATGTGCCTTTGTAACCATTTCCACTACCACCCACAAGATGGGTATGGGGTGCATAATAAATGAACTAAACTACTAAACCGCCGAAGGCGTAAATGCCAAAAATCTGCTAACTTTTAAAGTACAGCTGAAAAAGATCATCAAAGCAAATGGAGAGACCTTCGACAAGCCTCCGGCTTCCTGTCCTCGTCGAGGTTACTAATGTAAGTTCAAGTATGTTTATTGAGACAAGAAAGAAATACATTTCAAAGGGATAGAGTAGCTTAGGCTATTTCTACCCCCCCCCCCTCCTCTAGTGTAAGTGGCCCACCAGGTAAACAGGTAGTCTGGCTCGGGGGGGGGGGGTGAGGGGGTTCAACAAGAGAAACTGATATTAATATTTTTAAATATCCTCTCGGGTTTAGCCAACTTGCTATTTTATTAAACAATAAAATTAATTATTCGCGTGATGTAAAGTGGGGAGAGACGAGTGTAAATATGAAATGATAAGAGCATATGTTGGATGTTGTGATGGTACACGTCACTGGTAGTGTCAACTGGGCCGTCGTGACGGTGGGACGTTGTTGAAGAGTCTCACACCTGTCTCTCACACCTGTGACACACCTGGCCATGTTGAGTGTGGCAGGCAGCGTGGTGGTGGTGTGCATGGCGGTGCTGACGGCAGCGCAGCAGAGGGTGGCCCCGGGAGTGCCCCAGCAGCAGTACCAGCAAGGAGGTCCTGTCCAGCAGCAGGCACGGCCACCTGCATCGCCCCAGCCTGCCGCTCAGCCTCAGGTCACTCTACAACTTGTACTTGAAAACTTGCTATTTTCTCCCCATTTTGGATCATCTGAGTACATATTGCAGCCTGGCGTGTGGGGCTCCTCCTGCCCGGTGTGTCCCGGGGGCAGCCTGGCGTGTGGGGCTCCTCCTGCCCGGTGTGTCCCGGGGGCAGCCTGGCGTGTGGGGCTCCTCCTGCCCGGTGTGTCCCGGGGGCAGCCTGGCGTGTGGGGCTCCTCCTGCCCGGTGTGTCCCGGGGGCAGCCTGGCGTGTGGGGCTGCTCCTGCCCGGTGTGTCCCGGGGGCAGCCTGGCGTGTGGGGCTGCTCCTGCCCGGTGTGTCCCGGGGGCAGCCTGGCGTGTGGGGCTCCTCCTGCCCGGTGTGTCCCGGGGGCAGCCTGGCGTGTGGGGCTGCTCCTGCCCGGTGTGTCCCGGGGGCAGCCTGGCGTGTGGGGCTGCTCCTGCCCGGTGTGTCCCGGGGGCAGCCTGGCGTGTGGGGCTGCTCCTGCCCGGTGTGTCCCGGGGGCAGCCTGGCGTGTGGGGCTGCTCCTGCCCGGTGTGTCCCGGGGGGCAGCCTGGCGTGTGGGGCTCCTCCTGCCCGGTGTGTCCCGGGGGGCAGCCTGGCGTGTGGGGCTGCTCCTGCCCGGTGTGTCCCGGGGGGCAGCCTGGCGTGTGGGGCTCCTCCTGCCCGGTGTGTCCCGGGGGGCAGCCTGGCGTGTGGGGCTGCTCCTGCCCGGTGTGTCCCGGGGGCAGCCTGGCGTGTGGGGCTCCTCCTGCCCGGTGTGTCCCGGGGGCAGCCTGGCGTGTGGGGCTCCTCCTGCCCGGTGTGTCCCGGGGGCAGCCTGGCGTGTGGGGCTCCTCCTGCCCGGTGTGTCCCGGGGGCAGCCTGGCGTGTGGGGCTCCTCCTGCCCGGTGTGTCCCGGGGGCAGCCTGGCGTGTGGGGCTCCTCCTGCCCGGTGTGTCCCGGGGGCAGCCTGGCGTGTGGGGCTCCTCCTGCCCGGTGTGTCCAAATGATTACACTTGCATAAATCGTTGTCGTGCATCCCACTTTTTTCTAGTTTCAATAAGCTAGAAAATTGGTACAGCTCATGGTAGCCCGTATTGCTCTTGAACATCTTAAATTTTGAAATAGACATAAGCAACTTAGCCTTAATAAGTATTGATCTCATTTCCATGCAACTACATATTTGTATTGCTTAACTTGGCACGCAAGTCTGATAATTGGACGTAATCTTTCTTCAATTATCGCTAGGAAAAGCCTCTGTGTTTTCAGAAATGTATTAGTGACAACGTTTGCAAAATCCTCTTAAATAGTTGCCTTTTGACAGTCAAGCAAAAGACAACTTCAGTATGAAATGGTAAATATTTAAAATTTTGAGTATTGTCAACACACAGCTTCCAGAATTGATTATTAAGCGAATGGGGTATATTATTTATTACCTGCAGTAATGAGAGTGCAATGAATTATGCAGGTAGTCATAAAGATATTTTATTACAACCAGATAGTGTTTTGCAATAAATTACTACATTTTGCAACACTCCATCTGGTTGCAATAAATTGTCTAAAAAAATCTTCACCATTCATTGCATTATGGTGATGAATAATGCAATAAATGAAGATATTAGCTTTAAATTGACTTTAAAAAGAGCAACAAAATAAAGGTCGCCATTCCTTGACGGTACTCAATCAGTTGTACAAGCATGTCAAACAGAATTGTGTTTTCTTTGAAGAACTGATTAACACAAAAAGCTCCTTTTTTAGTTTATAGTTGCCTTGCAAATAACATTGGTCTAATTTTCATATTTCATAAAGCACACACAAGGGAAGATACATTGTCCGGTAAAGTTGACTTGTTCATCTGTAATGCAAATTCTGTTGTCCTTGGTATGCTGCACAAAATATTTGTCTGTGCCATTTCATGTGTCGGCACTGTATTATTGCCAAGAGGAATCATCTTAATTACAGTACTGTACTGTGAAACCTCAGCACTTGCTCAGTTGGTTCCAGAAGACCGTTAGTGCCAATCTTTTCGAGTACCGAATAATTTTTTCCCTTGAGGAATAATGTAAATTAAATTAATCTGTTCCAGACCACAAAAATACTCACAAATACAATAAATATATTAAATAAATGTAAATATACTCTCACTTTATCTGCACTTATTTTATTTTTTTTTCTTACCACAAATGTGGCCACACAAATACAATGCTAACCAGAATAGATAAATTTTCTTCTGTCCTCCATGTACAGGGGTTAGAGATCTGTTAAACATATAATTTAGTGATTTATTGAAAAATCAACCACAAAGTGATGGTATGCTTTTGAAATGCTAATCTAACCTATAAACATAAATACAGATTTACGTCTGCCCTACATAAAGTGTTCGAGGTGTCTTTTTACATCGCGTCTTTTTACAATGCTTTGTAAACTTAAAAAGTTGAAATGCAGTTCTGACCAGCTTCCACATATCCTGTATACAAATACACACACATACATATATTCACATACACATACATATATACATCTATGTTGCTCCTACTTTGAGAGGGTAAGATTGCTTCTATAGAAACTAGTGTTATTAAACACTTGACCACGGAAAGTGATTAAGATGCTTTTTACAAACTCATGTTATAGGTAGTTTACATACACTGTATAACAGGTGTATTATGTAGTCGATCTTGGGAACAAGTTCAACATGTCAATTATTGCAGTATTCATATAGTATTTAGAGTTCAGCATTCCTCAGACCAGTTGGACAAAAGTCGGTCAAAATGGGAAATTCTACAATATAATGTTCAAGGGAATGCATGTTTTATCTTTCAAAAAGTTGACACATGGTGTATTCGGCATTTGGGTTTTGAGAGAGCTGCCAGATACATCAACATCCCAGACGTATTCTGGCCATTATAACATCACATTGCCGAGTTCTTAGCCTATTAGTTCCATATATAAATGTCTCACGATATTTATCATAATGTTTAATGCTGCAACTTTCAGGCCTTTGTGAATTTGTTAGGTCAGTGAAATTTTCATTAGATATTTGATTGTGTTCTCTTCGTCACTGCTAATGAAATGCCCGTATCTATTTCTACTACTGGGTTTTCTACAGGCTGTCTTTGCAAGCATATCAACAGTGTCATGCCTTGAGATGCCAACATGTGATGGTATCCAAAGGAATTTAATTTCAAATCTGTTTTCTTTAGCAGCTAAAACATTTACAGGGGTACCTCGGTTTAAGAGTTTAATCTGTTCCTGGAGACGTCTCGTAAACCGAAACTAATTTCCCCATAAGAAATAATGGGAAATGAATTAATCCATTCCTGACTACCCAAAAACCTCACTTCTAACTAAATTTTATACCTAATTCATCGAAATCTACACTACAAAACTGTTAGTTATTACTTGCCCTTGCTGATGACTGCTGTTGGCATATGAAAGATGGTGAGGAGGGGGGAGGAGGAGAGGTCTTACTGTTTGGGAGTCCCCTTCCGTTATAACATCAGGCAGCGAGGACCTCTGGGGTGCATTCTCTGGCACGTTTTGCCTGCATACCACTTGGTCCTGGTTGTGGCTCACTGCTAGATTTTCTTGCAACAAATCTGTCCATGGAAGATTTTTTTTACCTTCTTCGCAAGATGTGTCTGTAGTGAGGCATCACATTGCCATTGAAAAGATTAATGCAACGGCCTACTACAGCTTTCTCTGGATGAGTCGTTTCAATAAAAGTTTGCATTTCTTCCCACATCTGACACCACTTCTTAATGGTTGCAGAAGGGACATTCACTGAAGCCTCATCCTCCTCCACTGGAGAAACATCCTCAGCCGTGTCTTTTTGCTGTTCCTTTTGAAGGGCTTGGAGTTCTTCGGTGGTCAGTTCTTCGCTGTGTTCTTCCACCAACTACCCCACATCAGCACCATCCAATTTCATGCCCATTTGCTGGCCCAGAGTAACCATTTCCTCAACAATAGGCACATCATTTACAGGCTCAAACCCCTCAAAGTCTAGTTCTGTCACACATTCGGGCCACAATTTTCTCCAGCCAGAGATCAGGATTCTTTGATTCACTTCTTGCCAGGCTTTGTCAACGAGTTTTAAAGCACTACAAATGTTAAAATGGTGTTTCCAGAACTATTTGAGGGTGTTTTGTGCCTTCAGTCACTTCAAAACATTTTCGGAAAAGTGCCCTTTCATAAAGTTTCTTAAAATTTGCTAGGATTTTCTGGTCCATAGGCTGAATTAGAGGAGTGGTGTTAGGAGGAAGGAACTTTACTGTGAGAAATTTACTGTATCTGCAACAATTCATCTTCTAAGCTTGGAGGATGAGCAGGAGCATTGTTGAGAAACAGGGCCTTGAGTGGCAAATTTTCCTCCTGCAGATATTTTTCTATGGCAGGGCACACCACTTCATTCACCCACTCCAAAAAAAAACAAATCCTTGTCACCCATGCCTTATTATTACCCCTCCACATCACACACATTTGGTTTTTCTGCACTTTATACCGTTTGAAAACCCTTAGATTTTCAGAATGATACACTAGCAAGGGTTTAATTTTCAAATTGCCACTTGCATTTGAACACAGCACAAGCGTAAACCTATCTTTCATAGGCTTGTGTCCGGGCAATGATTTTTCCTCGGTAATGTAAGTCCTCTTGGGCAATCTTTTCCAGAACAGTCCTGTTTCGTCACAATTAAACACTTGTTGCGGTAGGTATCCCTCAGCCTCTGTAAACTCTTTAAATTCTTCAATAAATCTTTCAGCCGCTGGTTTGTCTGAGCTGGCAGCCTCCCCCATGCCTCACAACACTATGAATACCACTTCTTTTTCTAAATTTCTCGAACCATCCCCTGCTTGCCTTAGTCTTTCGTATATGCACTCGTTCCAGGGGTTTTCTTTACAAGATCTTCGTGCAATACCATGGCTTTCTCACAAATGATGGCCTCTGAAACACTATCACCCTTTAACTCTTTGCCGTGTATCCAAATAAATAACAACTTTTCCACATCCTCAAGTATTTATGGTCTTTGTTTCGTGATTGTTGGTATACCTTTTGCCATTTTAGCTCTTATAATGTCCTTTTTCTTGGCAAGTATAGTGCATATCGTTGACGTGGATTTGTTGTACTGCCTACAAAGTTCAACAACACGTGCACCATTTTCATGCTTCCGAATGATCTCCTGCTTTTCCTCTATTGTCATCCTCACGTGCGATTTCTTGCCTTGAACTTTACCACCAGCTTTCCTGGTACCCATTGCGATGTATATTACGTATAACAAATTTTATGCTCAAATAGCAAAAACTCTGAAAATTAGTGGTAAATTCTTATGAAGAATTCAGGCAGGATAGTCACTGGCTGCGAGGCACTGGTAAACCGAGTGGTGATCTCCGTTCCACCACGTGCTAGGTCGTATCCTGAGACAACCCTCGTATCACGATACAAATTTTCTGAGCAAATCCTGCTCGCAGCCTGAAAAACTCGTAACCAGGGGCGCTCATAAGCCGAGGTACCACTGTATTTGTATATCACTGGCTATTTTTTAGGTGTTACTTCTATGTGCGTTAAATGCTAAGAGCGAATTTTGCGAGTCACAGTATAAGTCTACTGCCTTTGTCTTAAAAATTCAGTGGCAAGGTATATGGCTGCATGTATGGTTTGAGTTGTACTTGCTCAATCATTGATGCACTTCATTGCTGCATTTACGAGAGAAGATTGTTTAAATATACTGCATGCACATCCGGTACATCTTCCACTTTTTACAGAACCGTCGGTATAGCACTGATACACATCGTTACCCATAACCTGGGTACTATGTGATGCTTTTCAGTGTTAACCGTTTTAATAATGTAGGGTGTACACTATCTTGGATGCAATTACAAAATCAACTGATAGATCCCAGTAATTCCATGAATTAATTGTTTGATTAATCATTGAGTTGGGTAAATATTTAATATTTTGAAGTTGGTTACCTTAAAATTTCACGTGTTGCCGAGATCTACTCGATGCCTTCACGCCGAAAACTGTGCTAATAGACCAAATTCTCCCGCTTATGGTAGGTTATTTTAACTCTGCTCTCATATTAAGTATTCGCGTGCACTTTGGAGCCTTGAGGATGAGACGTATAGCTTCATTTTACAACGTTTCAAGGAATTTTAGCTCTGTATACAGGGGGGGGGGGGACTTTGATCACCCTACAGAGGAAGTTAAGGTGCTTGGGGCTGTTCCTGGGTCTGGTGCATTGGTCTCGGCTGCTTGTGTGTCGTCTGCGCTTCTGAAGTTGTTTGTGCCGATCCTGCTGGATGCCGTGTCACGGTTTTCTCTGTGCATTTCACGTGTCGGCAGGTGGTGCTCGCTTCCTCCTTGAAATCTGCTTGGGCCCTGGCTCTTAGATTGTCATCACCCTTTTGTCCCTTGCTGTTTGCAGACTCTGCGGTGGAGCAGTTTCTGCAGGCAGCAGCTTCTAACTGTCGTCCAATGTCCAACTTCTTGGTTCTTCGAGGGTTCCATGGGTGTTCCTCCCGTCGGGATTGTGCCAGGGTTCTGGGTTCTGCTCGTTGAGGTGGGCCGCAGGTGCCAGGTTCGGGTCCGGCGCCGCGTTTGGAGCTGTCTGTGTCTGGTCGGCGCAGTGATAGCTCTGTGCGCAGGTCAGGTTCTTGTAAAGGGCATTGGCCCTTTCGCGGTTTGCCCCATTGACGAGTGGATGGGGCTAGCTCGTTCGCTCGCGCCTGGTCTCACGATTTGCGGGTGTTTTGGGTCGTTTCCCAAAACCTGCGGTGGAGCTGGGTGGCCCCCTCCTCCTTCGGGGGGTTCGGGGTTGGCAGGACAGGCCTCTTCTCCTGCGCGCTGTCAGGTCGTCTCGGAGTGGGTGCGCTTGGGTGTGGTCGAAACGACGACGTCCCTCAAGTTGGTTTCCTGCCTGTTGGGGCGAGACGCTTGGTGTCCCTGGACCTCGAGGACGTGTATTGGCATGTCCCTATTCATCTGAGGTTCGGGGACTGGCTTGTTTTTGTTTTGGGGCGTCATGGTTACTGCTTTCCTTGTCTCCCGTTCATGTTGAACTTGGCTTCTCACGTGTTTACACGCCTTATTTGGGAGGTTGTGGCCTGTCTGCGTCTCTTAAGAGTTCGGGTATTGGCCTACCTCAACGACTGGCTGGTTTGGGCTCCCAGTCGGTCTGCGTGTCTACTCAATAGAGATTTGTTTTTTTCCCAGCTTGCCGGGTTCAGGTTCCTGGTCAACTGGCGGAAGTCCCATCTGGTTACCTCTCGGGTTCGGACCTGGCTTGGTCTTGTGTGGGACTCTCGAACCGCTTCCTTGTCTCTCCCTCCAGAGTCTCTCCTTCAGGTGCGGTCCCGCTTGTGCCTGTTTCTGAGGGACTCCCGGGTCACCCAGCGGTTGCTCAAGGGCTTGTGCGGGAGCCTGAACTTAGCGATGCTGGTCTACCTGCCAGGTTTATAATAAAACCTGGCTTATAATAAAACCTCAATAAATGTACTTGAACTTGGATAGAGAGGGGGAAGGGGAGAGTGAGGGAGTACAAGTACTGTACATAATGTGTGTGTGTTTTCAGGGTAATGTTGGTGTGTCGCCGCAGCAGTACCGGCAAGCCCCAGGTGTCCCACCCCAACAACAGCAACAGCAGTATCAGCAGCCACAATATCAGCAGCAGCAGCAGCAGCAACAGTTCCAGCAGCCAGTGCAACAACAATATCAACCCCCACCTCAACAACCCCCTCCACCTCCACAACAGCAGTACCAGGCAGTATTTTGAAGCACAGTTTTTTCCATTTCAAATTTGCTTGTTAATTTTTAGTTATGTCTGAAAGCTGCTTTTGTTACTCAAAGTATAATTGGATTTTGAGCTTAGTCTTGTTAAAATGAAAAGTTGGTTGCCGAAGGATGAAAGTTTATACAAATTTTTATAACCTCTAAATAGACAAAATAATTAATGTTTATCTATATTTGGCTAGTCTTGAATTCCAAAAGTACCTTTTTGTTTTTCTACTTTGCTCTCCAAGAATTTATTAACCCTTAAACTGCATAACACGTCATATGATGTTGTTGGAGTACTACGCAAGATTTAAACGGCCCGCAGATACATGGGGGTTCACCTCGCCTTCATCAGGGCTTTAGTAAGCAGACGCCATTTTTTTTTTTTAATCATGGGCAACATTCCCGGGTGTGAGGGCCTCAATACTGAGTGAGCAATCAAGACTGGCGCATGCAGCATGAGCTCCAGCATTGCTGTTCAGCTTGTGATCACAGCATCGCCTAAAAATGTTGAAATATATTTGTACGTGCTATTAGCAATGATAGTATTACAGAAGACCCTTGACTGATAAAAATGACCAGGATTCTGATAATTGCAGGATTGTTGTGATAATTAGTGCTGTAGTGGGAGGAGTAATCTTGGTGGGGAGGGAGGTAGCGTTGTCTGCTGACTGTGTGACCACCTTTTACTGTCTGGACTCACTATACCAGCTTAGTTGTTCGCTATGGTAAACAAAACATGCAGATACTTATATGTAATGTCTGTATATAGTGAATAAAAGCAAAAACAGTATGGTGGGAGGAGAATGTTGGCAAGTCAGGTGAGGGAGGGAGTGGCAGCCAGTGGCTGGCTGCCACTGCCACTCAGCATACCAACTTAGTGGTTCGTTATGATGAACACAAATGTAGATACTTATATGTAATGTGTGTATATAGGGTAATAACACCATAAACGGTATACTGGAAGGAGGAATGTTAGTGTGTCTGGCCTTGAACCAGTGAGGGTGGGAGGGAGCATTAGTTGTGTGGCCACCTGTTACTGTCTGCCGTCACCATACAAGATTAGTGGTTCACTGTGGTGAACACAAATGTAGATGCTTATATATAACGTGTACATATAGTGTAATAACAGCAAAAGGAGTTTTGGGAGAAGCCATTTTGGTGAGGGAGGTGGTATCTTCCTGACTTTTGTCTTGCTGTGTAAGGGTGGCCTATGCTTTTTGTGCTTTATACCAGCTTAGATGAACAGTTATGGTGAACAGAACGTGTAGATACTTGTATATAATGTCTGTATATAGTGAATAAAAGCAAAAACAGTAAGGTGGGAGGAGGATGTGGGCGAGTGAGGAGTCATTGAGGGAGGGAGTGACAGCGAGAGGCTGGCTGGTAGATGTGGTGGCCACTGCTCGTTGGTTTTTGACTCACAATATTAACTTGGTGATTCGTTATGGTGAACAAAACGTGCAGATACTCGTATATAACTTGTGTATATAATGTAATAACCGACAAAGTATTTGTCTGTTTTATGAACAATACTGTAATTGAATCGGTAATATGCACACCATAATTTTGAGTACAGCGATGATTCACACACTTTATTATATAAATATATCACACTACACACTATTGAGTAATATTACAGAAAAAAAAGAAGAAAAAATCAAACACATTGAAATAATTATATCTGTGGCAACTCCCGCCTGACAGCTGTGGCGGAGCAGAACTTCCCCGACGCTTGCCGAGTGAGCGCCTCTCTTTTGTCAAACTTCCCCGCCCTAATGCGGCCAAAATATGCCATTTATGATTTTTTGTTTATTTTTATTTATAAAAACCAGGGAACACCAGGTTTTTAAGAGTTGTTTTTTTGTTTTTTGTTTTTGTTTGTGCCTGTGCTAACCATGATGCTGGGAAGTCTGGCCATGCTCCACCTGAGCCAAAACAATTTATTGATGATGAGTTGGTAAATGATTGACCCAATTCTGCTTCAAGATGATGATGATAAAGGTCAAATAGCCCGGAGCAGCTTAGGGATTAAAGTGCTCTAAAGATTCAAACATTACAATAAGTTGATAGTTTATTTGACATTTTCATTCTAAATTATTCTTTGTATATTTTTACATAGGATACATATTTAAATTTAGTTCACCAGGCATTATATCAAAATTTAATGGTTCTTCAGACAATTTTGTTTTGCTAGCATTATTTTTGTCTAATATGCTGTACAGTACTTCTCTTGATGCTACTTTGGCTTGCTTTGGTTGTCATTTCAGTGCTGCTTTTCCTGGTGTTGCTAACAAAATGAATATTTTCCACAGCCACAGCAGGGTGGAGTGGCCCATCAGCCTCATAACAACCAGAGAGTCCTACACAACCCGAACTTGAGCCAGGAACGTGACCATTTGAAGGATCATCTTGAGGTTCCTATAGACACATCTGGAATGTCGGAACAGGAATTGCAGTTCCATTACTTCAAAATGCACGATGCTGATAATAATAATAAGCTTGATGGACAAGAACTCATAAAATCTCTCTTCCATTGGCATGATGCAGCTAACCATGATGCTGGGAAGTCTGGCCACGCTCCACCTGAGCCAAAACTCTTTACTGATGATGAGTTGGTAAATATGATTGACCCAATTCTGCTTCAAGATGATAAGAATAAAGATGGCTTTATTGATTATCCAGAATTTGTCCAGGCTCAGCGTAATGCTGCGGCAGCAGCAACTGCTAATGCTGGTTAACTCATTTACAAGTATTATTAAAATATAATTGCCATTAATAATCATTGCTTTCTGAAAGTGATATTTATATGTAAAAATGATATTAAAGACTGTGATTGATTTCACAAACTGAATGGGATTGGGTAGTTTTTTACAAGCATATATTACTATATTTTTTAATACTGTAGTTAATTTGAACAAGGTGAAAACAAGGAGTTAATTATTTACAAATTTTTTAGTAATGTTAACTGCACATCATGAAGCTGTATAGTATTTTATAGATCTTAATGTGCAATATTAATGAGGAAAACTACATCTTGTGATGTGGTTGTGAAAGTTGACAATGAATAATATGGGTCAAAAAGGTACTTGTCTAATTTTTCAGTTGCACTACTATCATAATTAGTAAACCTAGAAACTAGGGGATTAATTAGGTTGTGTAAAATAAATAAATAAATTATATATATAAATTTACAAATTTTCATTTTCAGTTTGATATACAGGAATATTATTTTAAATTCACTGTACAGTACTGTCAAGTGTCATAATTTTAAATATACAATGTACTGTATTAATATTAGGAATCAATAGGAACAAATCTTTTAAATGTTGGTAAAATTTAAAAAAAATTTGGTTTTGGGTTGGCATCACTAAGAAGTGCTTGTTGAGGTAAATGTATAGTCCACGGATCTGTGATAGTGAGTCTGCTGGATTAAAGGTTATTTTGGCTATTATTAAAGGCTTAAGGCAATGTTGGCAAAATGTGCCGACATTAGTATTACAGTATTTTCAAATTGGTGTAGGATACCTTTAATTGAAATTGAAATAAGTTTATTGAGGTAAAATACACACAAAGGGATGAGGTAGCTCAAGCTATTCTCACCCCATTCAGTACAACGTGTTAATATATACATAGACACACATCACAAATAAACATATTACCAAACATTCTGAGAGGTACCTTTGTCTGTCTTTTGTGTGTAGAGAAATGATTACATTTATAGGTGCTTGAAATTTGGCGAAACAATGATGAACCTGTAAACTGGAATATATATGATGTGTAACTAGTATTTATTGCTGATACTTATCAGCATATATATGAATGTTTTAGTAGCTGGAAGGTATATGATTAAGTTGTTATAGTCTGATAAATCCAATCTTTTTAGTGGTAAGGCAAAATTAATTCCCATTTTATGATTATTGATGAATACCCAAGTGTTTAAACACGTCCAATTTGAGGGCAATATGTTAAAGGCTGGTGTTTTGTCTTAAAAGGGAGGGAGGGAATATATAAATTGTTTGTATAACCTGTAATGTAAATTATGCATAAAAGGGAACTCTTTCCATAAAGCCTTTTGAAATTTAAGTTCACTTGACCGAATATTATTTACCTTATTAATCTCATTTACAGCAAGGTGGCTTGATATAAATTATGATCTTCATATCTCTACTTTCAATTGGGGATCTTTGGTTCAATTCCTAGAGGGGGGAGGTGGGGGGGGGGGGGGGAGAAATGGTTTGGCACATTTCCTTTCACCTAATGCCTCTGTTCACTTAGCAGCAAATAGGTACCTGGGAATTGGGTAACTGTTGTGGGGTTGCATCCTTGGGAAAGTTAGTAGTTTGACCTTGGGTGGGGAAGGGAAAACCTCAGTACAAGCCTAAATAGAGTATGTATACACAGGCATCCCATCCCAACCTCGCCCCTTCCTGTCCGGCCTGTTGTTGCCATGAGGGGGCTTGGTGGGCGGCTGCTGAATGTGATGCTCTGTGGGACAGTCCTCTGTCCTTCTGTGGCCTTATGCTCTTGCTGCTGTCCTTTCGAATTCTGCCTGGTGACCTTTCATTGTTTCGTTTTTCTCCACCCCTCTTCTTTCTAATTGTCATTTCCCGCCAACCTTTTGCCTGTTTTGATTATTCTTTCGACCTTCTTTTTGTTTTGACGCCCGGGTGTTTGAGGAGGCATACTCTCACACCCGTAGACTCCTCCGTGGTGTCGCCTTGCCTTGGTGAGGGGCTCACGTACACCTCCCTGGGACCGGTGTGGGTTTCCTGTGCCCCCTCTTTGGGTGGTGTACGTGCTGAAGGGCACCATGTAGGGGCCTTGTGAGCCATCGGACCACCCGCTGGAGGGGTCGCCTGTGAGAGGCCGCCCTGAGTGGATGGTTGGGTGTCCAGGCTGGGGCGATAGGGGGGCTGGGGTCTTAGCACCAGTGTGGGAGAATGAACGAAGTAGTAGGACTCCCTGTTGAAAAGGGGGAGCACCGCTGGGGACGACACACCCTTCCTGCACTGGCCCGTGCTCGGCCTTCCTGGCTGCCCTGGTAGGTGGTATCCCTTGGTTCCAGGTCTCATCCCTTATATATTGGTTTCCTGTATGGATGACGACTTGCCTATTATAACCCAGGCTCATGGGGTGGGCAACCAGGCCCCTGAGTCGGACCATCCTGGAAGACTGGGTTCTGTAACCTCCGCTACAGGGCCTGGTTTAAACCCAGACCTGACTCTTCCTCACTGCTCCCCTCCCTCCTCTGTGGTTGGGTCGAGCCCCGAGCCCGCTGTGGTGACAGTCTCGTCCCCTTGCACGGCTCTGTCTCTTCTTGTGACTACTGGACCTTTCGACCCGTCTCTACGGGTTTTCATCGCCGTACCCGCCACGGCCGCTCTCGTATGCTCCCTTCCCATCCTACTTCGTTCCATGCTTTGTTTGGTCCTGCTACATGGACTAAGTACTTTGACCTCCAACCTTTGGATTCAACTCCTGACGATTTTTCCCTTCATATGCATCTTGTTGATTCCGTGGATGCCTCTGTCACCTTCAACCCCACTCGTCTTGGTACCCATGTCGTTGCTACTCCTTCTCAGGATGCAGCCACTCGTTTGGCCGCCTTATCCTGCCTTGGCGAAACCCCTGTTCGGATCTCAAAGAATGCTCGATTGAATGCCAGTGTTGGCACTGTTCTCCTCCCGCACCATGTTGCGACCGGTGTTAGGGATCTCAGGACTGCCACGAGGATATCGAGCATATCCTCGAGGCCCAGGGTCATTCTGTCCTCCACGTGGATACATTTACTCGTCCCCCCTCAAGGTCATCGCCGTCTGCCCCTTCGGGCTGTGAAGGTTACCTTTGATGGTAGGATCCTTCTGCCCTCTGTCATTCTTGCTGGTGCCAGGTGCTCCGTTCAGGAGTATATGCCATCTCCTCGGCTCTGCAGTAAGTGCTGGAAGTTTTGGCTTGGTACCCTCAAATGCTCTAGTCCCGTCTCTCTCTGTCCCCTGTGTGGAAGTGAGGGTCACTCTAAGTTGGAGTGCACTTCTCCCCAGGCCCACCCTACCTTTTCCCGTGCGTGTATTCGTTACAAACTTGAGGCGGCTGTCCTCAACTTGAAGCACCGGGACCGTTTGTCTTTTCCTGAGGCTCGGCGCCAAGTTCATCGTCTTCCCTCTTTCGCTGGTGTCTCCTATGCTCACGTGGTGCGCTCTTCCTCTCCTCGTCCTTCCTCAGTCTCGCAACCGTTTCCGAGCCTTAGACCCGGACACGCCCACCACCACCTCCCCTGTTTCCTCCGTTCTGTTCCGAAGGGTTCCCCTCCTGGTTCTCTGTCTAGGGCTTCCCTTCATTCTACCCAGTCTGTCACGTCTACTGTGTCTTCTATTTCCTCTCCCTCTAGTCCTCCTTCCCGTCCTTCTCCTCAGTCTCTTGGCTCTCCACGCCGCCTGACTGTGCGGGCCGACGTCCATCGCTCTCCTGATGGTTGTTGTGTTCGCTCTCGTTCTTCTCCTATCGAGACACTGGAGTCTGTTGCCCAGTACATTGCTGCTGGGACGCCTGTATCTTTGAGTCGGAAGCAGAAACCTGGCTCCTCTCCTTCCTCCTCCCCTGTTAGTAAGAAAGCTTTGCTTCCTTCTTCATCCCCCTATCTCTGATTCTATCCTTCCTTCCCCTCCCGCTTCGGTGGTGGAGCCCCTGTTCCTACTGTGGGGGTTTCTTTAGCCCTCGGTTCCATCTCGATTACTGCCCCTGCTGAGGTGTGCTCCCCTCTTTCTGCCCCCCCCTCCTCCCCTTCCTTCTCCTCCAGACCCTGCTCGTCCACCTCTGGTCCATCCTCCCGCTTCTTTCCCTCCTCCTTTACTCAGTTTACCCATGCCCCCTAACCCAGACTTCGCTGACTCTGCGCTTTTTAGCGTGCTGTGTTCCTTCTTCACCTTTTTTTTTCTTCTTTGCTCTCTGTTGCTCTCCTCTCTCTCTTTGCTGATGTCTTTTCTTCAATGGAACATCCGTGGATTTTACGCCAATTTCCTTGACCTCCAACTTCTCATTTCACAGTTTTCGCCCCTTTGTGTCTGTCTCCAGGAGCCGATGCTTGGTGCTCGTCCTGGTCGCTTCCGTGGCTATTCTTTTCTCTCCCCTAATTCATAATTCTTCTGCTTATTGATTCGCTCCGATGTTCCCTTTGTCCCTTTACTTTTTTCCTCGCCTCTCCACTGTTCTGCTGCCTGTGCCTTTGTGCATAGATAGTACAGTACACGGTTTGTTCCATTTATCTCCCCCCAAATGTCCCACTTTCTCTTCCTGATCTTAAACAACACCTAGACAACTTGCCGGAGCCTGTGCTCCTATTGGGTGATTTCAACTGTCGTCATGCCCTTTGGGGTGATGTGCTGACAAATACCCTGGGTCGCCTCCTTGAACCTTTCATCCTCTCTTCTTCCCTGTCCTTTCTTAATTCTGGTGAGCCCACTCATTTGGACTCTCGGACGCGCTCCCTTTCTTGTCTCGATCTTTCTCTGTGCTCGTCATCCCTTTCCTTAGATTTTGGGTGGCGGGTCCTTGATGACCTCCATGGCAGTGACCATTTTCCTATCCTTGTCACTTTTTTCTCCCTCCCCTCTCCTTCCCTAGGTGACGGTTTGCCGAGGCTGACTGGCGCCTCTATACTCTTTGTGCTACTATTTCCGACCTCTCCGTTCTGCCTCTCCCTCGTGCCCCCCTCCTTTTTCATGACACTGTCTTTGACGCTGCCCTCCACTCTTCTTCCGCTCTTCCTCGGGGAACGCGGAAGTGCGTTCCCTGTTGGAGTATGGACTGTGCTCGGACTGTCCGCTGTAAGCGTGCAGCCTGGAAGAGACATCGCCGCCGGCAGACGGTTGAGTCTATTCTTTTGTTTCGGAAGGCGAGTGCAGTGGCTCATAGGACCATCCGTGCAGCTAAACGTGCTTGCTGGGCGTCTTATGTCTCCGTTACATCCAAAACTCCTCTCCCACTGGTCTAGAAGCGTATCCGCAAGATTGCAGGCAAGTTCGTTCCCGATGTCTCACCGGTCTTTCGCCTTCATAGTGCTCTTGTGGCGGACCCGTTGCAGGTTGCAACCGAACTGGGTTCCCATTTCTCCTCTGTTAGTTCTGGTTCTCATCTTACCCAATCCTTCCTTCTTCGTAAGCCTCTCCTTGAGTCTCGTCTTTAAATTTCTGTACTTATATAATGTACAGAATTCCCTATAATGATCTCTTCTCTCTCTCTGAGCTTCAATCTGCCCTGGCCCTTTGTGGTTCTACGGCAGCGGGCTCCGATGGCATTCATTATGAAATGCTTTGCCGTCTCCCTCCGTGCACGTCTCGGTATTTACCGAGTCTGTACAATCGGGTCTGAGAGTCTATCAGTCCCTGAAGACTGGCTCGATGCTGTTGTCCTCCCTGTTCGGAAACCAGGGTCTCTCGGGTCATCCCCCAAGGACTTCCGCCCTATTGCCCTCACGAGTTGTGTCTGCAAGCTCTTTGAACGTATGGTTAACGTTCGTTTGATGTGGTTCTTAGAACACTATCACCACCTCTTCCCTTCTCAATTTGGTTTTCGCAAGTGCCGCAGCACAATGGATGTCCTGGTTAACTTGGAGGTCTATATTCGTACTGCTTTTGCTGCGAAGACCTCCGTTGTTGCCGTCCTTTTTGACCTGGAAAAGGCTTACGACACTACCTGGCGGTATCATATTCTGTCTCAACTTCATTTTTTTGGCCTTCGTGGGAACCTCCCTCTCTTCCTCCAGAGCTTCCTCTCTCGTTGTTCCTTTCGTGTGCGGCTTGGTACTGCTCTCTCTGCCCCTTTTCAGCAGTATGAGGGTGTACCCCAGGGTAGTGTTTTGAGCACTACTCTTTCTAGTTGCCCTCAACGGTCTTCTTTCCTCTCTTCCTTCTGGCGTCTTCTCTGCTCTCTATGTTGATGATCTTACCCTTTGCTGTCGGGGTGATGATTCACCTCTCCTTCAACGGTGGCTTCAACTTGCGATTGATGCCGTGTCGTCTTGGGCCACCGATCATGGCTTCAAGTTCTCTGCGTCTAAGACTTGTGCTATGACTTTTACTCGGAAGCATGT